TCGCCATTCTTGTCACTGGCATCGCCAATCTTCACATGTGCGCCTTCAGTCTCAGCTAGCGCTTTCTGAGCCGCCGTCTCTGCAGCCGTCTCAGTTGCTTCCCTAGCCATCTGTTGACTCAGCTCCATCATCCACAATAAGGCCGCTTCCGCACACAGATTCTTCAGATCCGACCCCGAGTATCCCTCCGTCAAGGCCGCCAACTGTTCAATGCTCACGTCCGCCGCCAGGTCCTCCCCATTGAGCAGCACCTTTAGGATCTGCGCCCGCGCTGGCGCCTCGGGCAGCCCAAAGTGCATCTTTTGCGGCAGCCGGCGCAAAAAGGCCGTGTCCAGGTCCCGGGGCCGGTTCGTCGCCACCAGCACAAACGGCGTGCCGGGCAGGCCCGTCTGGAGCCCGTCCATTTCCTGGAGAAACTGCGTGAGCGCGGCGCGCTGCCAGGACTGGTCGTCCGAGGCCCGCCGGTAAAAGACGGCGTCGACCTCATCGAGAAAGATGATGCAGGGGTCGAATTTCCGGGCGAGGGAAAAGGCCGCCTTGATGTACTTTTCCGTCTCGCCCACATATTTCGACTGTAGCGAGGCGCTGTCGAGCGCGAGCATGTTGCTACCGAGGCTGTTGGCAATGGCGCGGCTGAGGTGCGTCTTGCCTGTGCCGGGCGGACCGTAGAGTAGAGCGCCCGAGATTTGCACCGCCGACTTTAGGAGCGACGATTTGGAATCAATCTTCATCTTGGAAAGAAGCACCAGCTGTCGCATCGTTTCTTTCATGTCGTCGCTCAAAATCACATCTTCAAACTTGGTGTCCTGAAGCTCGTCTGTGCGCTCGCTATTAGCATCATTTCTGTTGATCCTTGGAGATAGGTAGATCACTTGCCGACTTTGATTATCGAAGAAACAAGCTTCTGCTCAAATTTGTCGAGATCATGCTTGTAGATAGGCTTGCGAGGTTTCATAGCTGAATCACTTTCCTCTGAGCTTTCCTCTGAGCTTTCCTCTGAGCTTTCCTCTTCCTTTTGCACCTTGCCTTCATCTCCTCTGATCGGAGGCTCTGTTTCCTCGGCGACTGGCCGGAGATAACCGTTAAGCTCCGTCCTTCTGCCAATGGAAACCTGCGATAAAACGTCCGAAATGTCCTCAAGGCTCAGCTTCTCCTTATTCAGGGCCCGCCCAGTGATTTGTAGACCGACTGCATGGATCAGCTCACCATCGGTTGCTTTAAACTCTCCGGCATCCTCACCGAGGTCGATATTCCATTCTGCTTTGGGGCGCAATAGTTCTGCGTCAAAATGCTGTCGAGTATGGCAACGGAGCGTAAGTTTCAGGGCGTCGACAAAAGCGGCCGAGACTTTGTTGATGGGCTCTGTTGATGTCTGCGGCGCAGCAGGCACAGCGATATGCCTGAGTTTGAAGATGGCAGATTCGGAAATATTGCCCGCTTGGCGTAGTGTATCGAAGATAGAGCGGCGGGAACCTGACTGTGTGATGACTAGTACGACTTGGTTTCCTGCTTTCCTTTGTTCGACAACCTGGTCCTTCAGTCTTGCAACAATAATGGTCTTAGCCAAAAACAGGTCCGCTTCTGCGATATGGATCATCAATAGTGGTGCAGTTGGCCTTGCGTCATCTTTTGCAACGGAGCCGTTTGTCTCGAGGCAATCATCAAGGGTGTCGCGTATCGGAATCTTGAAAATTGGCGCAAACGCATATTTTGATCTCATCTTTGTCTTATCGGTTGCCCTTTGCGGGCAACCGAGGCCAAAATGCCAGACTGCACCATGATATAGTAGAGATATATCACCGCATATGTTATCTTGGGAAATGTCTTGGTTAAAAGCTTTCAAGTTGAATCGTAGAGCTGGTGGGGTCTGGTCCTCATACGACGCAGCCAGAGCATGAAAGTCTTGCAGCGTCAGGGTAACCAGGGTAGCACCGAAGTCCTTTGCTAGAGCTTCGACATACTCTGCCAAGATCTGTGCTCCTGCTGTATTCTTGAAGGAAAGAATGACACCAGTGTTGGATGTCGACAGCGTGCCGTCAGGGTCGGGAACCAAGCAAGAAGCTATGGTATCGCGCACTGACTGAAATGTCTGGCGACATACAATAAAGGCGTCATCTGGGAGGCTCGTGTAGTTTTGCGGGGGACTACTGCCACTGTCATCCTTCCTTCTCCTATCTGACAGAAGAATCTTGGGTTCGGCGGTGCGGAGTTGGCCCGGTGACTTGACATTGTCGGAAAAGAACCAGTCCGGAACCGAGTAGTTGGGGATTGCCATGATGGCCGCAGAAGTTTGTTTCTGACTTGACTCGGAAGCCAGGGCTCCTTCTGTGTCTGCGTTCGAAGCCATGTCGGAGGATGCAAGGCGCGGCGATGTTGTTTGGAAGGATCTCCTGGGTGAAGCCTTTCCGGGGGGCTCCCTCTAGTTATAACACCATGGTTTTTTTTTTTTTTTGGGCCAACCTGGCATCTGCCTAAGTCTGGCGGTGTAGCCTGGCGGTGCAACGGGTTTCTTGTCGCTTGTCGTGATTGAACCGTGGCTGGAGTATTCAAAGTGACCTGCAGATGAGGGCAGGTTGGTCTGGAAGGAGAGGTACCTCCATCACATCTGCCAGGTAAACTGCAAGCCACTATTAACAGCGCTTTTCGGGGGTTAATTCACTGCGCACACAACACGACATGACCAGGATGTTTAGGCACCCATCTGCAGCTACGTCGAGCCTGACACTGTTTTCCGTTGAGCAGGCAGAACTGCAAACGAAACTGGAGACTTCACGCCCAGCCACACAGTTGGAAGTGAATGCTGACTCGAGAGCCAGTTGGCGCTGCGCATTGTGGAACAAGACAATAAAAAAATCGGGCAATACGGCGAAATTGTTCCCCGAATACAGAAATTACAGATTATAAACAAAAATGCTGCAAGCCAGTCTGTATTTTGATCATAATACTCGTGAGTGGCGGCACAGGCAACAAGGTCTTTGATGTTGCGCCACTGTGGCTTACCCATCGCCACCTTGTGGCTCGGCACAACTTCAACACTTGCTTTCATCAAAACCGCCTGCGCATTCATCTAGTTACCATGATGAACAAAATGCAATTTAATCCACCTGTGGCTTCGGATTTATTATTAGCCTTCCCCAGTTTCCCCTGGCGCTCGGTCAGTTGTGTCGGTCATCATGGCGTCACGACCAGAAACGGTTTGGCCCGGAATGAATCAAGGTCCAGCCAAAGCTTGTTGCAGCCGCCGTTTTCAAGACACTGTGCGACCCTTTGACGTTGACGTCATTGAAGCTACAATTCACTGCAGATTTTATCCACCCAATTGTCATACATAGAGCCGCTCAAGCTCTCTGCCTCCCCTTCCTCGTACACCATCACTTACCATCGCCACCACCAATTCATCACAATGCTCTCCTCTACTAGGTCATCCGTGCCCCGCGCTCTGCGCTGCAGATCAACGCAGTTTTCCAGACAAGGGCCGCGACAAGTCCGCCTTCAATCCACGTCGACCTCGTCCACGTCGCAATCTCATCTGGCGTCGGGCATTGCTGGCGGTGTCGTTGGCGCCGTCCTCTTCTACGGCATCTACAGCTTCACGCCGGCCGGTCGCACCGCCAGCACCATCAACAAAGCTGCCATCGAGGCTAACAAGCAGTACAAGGCCGCCGCCGCCAAACTGCAGCAGGCCACGCCCGAGCCCGACCAGGCCATCAGCTACATCAAGGACCTCGCCTACTCGTACGTAGGCTGGGTCCCCGGCGGCCGCGGCTTCGTCGACTCGGCCTTTAAAGACGTCGAGATTGTGCAGGAAAAGCACAAGGACGAGGTCAACAAAATTATCAATGACGGCTACAAGCAGTTCCAGGAGCTGTCCAAGGCCGGCCTGAGCATGCAGACGGCCACAAAGGCCTATGAGACGCTCGCTGACCTGGCCAAGAAGATTGCCGACCTTTCGGCCGACGCCCTCGGCGATATTGTCGACAACCACCCGCAAATCAAGGAGAAGCTCGGTGGCAACATTGACAAGCTCAAGTCGCTGGGCGAGCAGTACGGACCCGACGCCAAGAAGCAGGTCGACGAGACCTGGCGCCAGGTCAAGGACGTCTTCGCCGGCGGCTTCACGGCCGCCAACATTGCCAAGGCCAAGCAGCTCATCGACGACAAGGTCGGCCAGGTGCAGAAGCTAGGCGACGAGGCCTGGAGCAAGGGCCTCGAGGCGGCCAAGCCCCTGCTCGACAAGAGCCCCAAGGTCAAGGAGCTCATTGAGAAGAATGCCGACGCGCTCAAGCAGGGCAACGTCAAGGAGCTGTTTGACAAGGCCAAGGCGGCCGTCGATGCGGGTGACCTCGGTGACCTGGAAAAGTACGTCAAGGGCGTGACCGACAAGGCCCAGTCCAAGGGAAAGGAGGTGGCGAGCGAATGGGGCCTGGACAAGTACTTTGACCAGTTGCCTGAAGGGAGCGAGATCTTGTCAAAGCTGCAGCAGCTTCGCAAAGTTGCTACCGAGCACAAAAAGGATGGCGAGAAGCTGATGAATGACACGTTGGATGAGCTGAAGCAGCTTCTGGAGAAAAAGGCCAATGAGGCGCAAAAGATTGTCGATTCAGCCAAGAAGGATGCTGGCCAGGACAGCAAGGATGGCCAGGATGGCAAGGATGGCAAGGATGGTAATAAAGATGGCAAGAAGAAATAAATACATAGAAGCTACTTGGTAGTACAAACATACAGCATGCATCTCAATTCAAATTAACCTTCGGCCAAGATGCGGATGGGGGACAGGTGCATTACCCGCCTATCAAGGGGAGCCTAGCCGACCGTCGAGCACCCGCATATCTACGATCAGGGATTCCGAAAGACGTACATACAATCATGAGACGCGGGGAACCTTGATCCATTATCCCCCGCGTTTTAATCTAAATCGTACCTGTGCAGCGGAGGGGGGCGGGCGGGTTCTCAGCACAGCGTCGGCTGAGCGTGGTGTTGGGCACCCTTCCTTGACCACGTCAGTTCTTGATCTGCTGCCTGTGATTCCGTTCTCTGCAACAAACGCGAGCCGATGTCGTAAAAGCTACACGGGCCAGATTCCAAAGCCAAGTTCGTTTATGTACGCCACATACCAGCAAAGGCCATCGGAAAACGCCACTGTCGACCAAAATTGGCAAGGCAAAACACTTGCCTGGAGCGAAGGCATGCGAATCACTCATTGACTCCTTGCTTGACCCGCACACGAAACTGAAGCATTTCATTCGAAGGCACCGTCTTGCGATTGCGCAGCTTGTCCGCCGTCGCCGCGCCGAGCACCGGCACCCGGTACTCGACGGCGGCGCCGGGCGGCGCGCCGGGCACGGGGTACGGGAAGGGCAGGTAGTCGGGCATGAGGCCGAGCTGGCGCAGCGTCGTGCCCTGGTCCCAGGTGATGTGCTCGTGGTACAGCCTGTCGCCCCGGATGTTGACGACGGCGACAAAGGGAATCTCTGCCTTTTGGTGCGTGGGTGGCACGCCGGGGAGTCTGCGGTAAGAACGGGGTGTTAGTATTATCAGAGGGCCCGGCTAGCAAGATGTTTTTCCTAGTAGGAAACCAATGGTGGGAAAAGGGAACATACAGCCAGTCTATTTCACGGTCGTGCGTGAATGTAAAGATGAACTCGTCAATCACGCGATCAATGCCAATGGTCCGGCTGACAAGCTCGAGACTCGTATCGGCCGCGTTGTTGAAGATGAAATTGTGCCGATAAAAGTCTGTCAGCTTTAATCGTCCAATACCTCCCGTCAACTATGTATATATGAGTTAATATTTCCATTAGCAGCCCGGGGGTTCCTGCCTGCTCACAGTCGGTACGTGGTTGACGTAGGGCTCCTGGACCATGGTGCTCATGGTGTGCTCGACCGAGCGGTCGGCAAACTCGTAGTACGTGTGCTCTTCCCAGATGCTCTCCAGGTCGAAAAAGGGCCCGCGCATGGCGGGCTTGAGAAACTGCAGACTCCTCGAGTGCGCGACAGAGTCGGCCGCGTAGTCAAAGTCGTCGTGGCCGGGGCTGAACCACCGCTGCTGCGGCGCCGTGACGGTGGGATAGCGATATTCTTTGGGCGCGCCAAGACGACTGGTTTTGGCGGCGGCGGCCCCGGCGATGTGCCTCAAGGACGGTACGGTGGTGGGTAAGAGTCCGGTGGGATTCTGGTCGTCGACGTAGATGACTGCCGCTGCCACGCTGGGAAGCTTGTCCAGCAGAGGAGCAGCCAAGTTCCACAAGGACGAAGAGTAGCCTAACTATCTTGTCAGTCAGCTTCTGGAAAGAGCCGTGCTACTGCTGGAGAACTACGGTCGCCGGCCCAACGTACACACCACGCCGACGGCGTCTTTGGGCTGGCACGACTCGCACCTTTCCAGAGCCTCCATGGCCAGAGAAAAGGCCTGCTCCGCCGCAGCACCGGACGCTTCCATCGCGGCCGCCGAGATCTGCACCACGGCGTAGCCCTCCTCGGCCCACTTCAACACGGGCGTGGGCGCATCGTCACGGTGCGTCACGTCCTCGTCGTACTCGTGCCGCGACACGAGGAGAAGAAGGCCCGGACCCGAGCCGCGTCTCGTCAGCGGCGGCTGCAGAGAGATACCCGACGTCAGTTTCTGAAGCTGGGCGCAAGGCAGCGGCGCGGGAGGGTCGCTTATGTTCGCATACATGGCTGCTCGTAACGTTGTGTGGATGACGCGCCAGAACAAATAGTATCGGTTCCCCCAGCTATTACTCGGGCCGGCTGTTTATCACTGTTTTTGTGGGTGATGACAATCGGCAGTGCTGCTTTGTTTCAGGCCAGACGACCGCAGTGGCCTCTGTCTTCTCGATGTCTTAGTGTCATGACAAATCCCCAGGTCGACTAACGAACACAAACGGAAACAACAGACGGCGAGCGGGGGGCGGCGGAAATCCCACCAAGCTAGTAACGGTTCCGACCCGACGAACTTGAAAGCTGATTGACTATTCATTAGTGGCTGATCGATTGGTGGTGTGTGTGTGTGGATCGCCAACGAACCAAGACCGCCTCACTGTTACGACAAACCTACCTGGTGGCATAGCTGACCGGAACTTCCTTTGGGATACATATATACCAGACAACAGTCTTCATCTCCCGCGTCTCCCTACCCCCTTTATCACGCCCTCCATATACTCTCCCCGCCATGTCCGACACAATCAGCAACGTCCGCGCGCGGTTCGAGCTCACCGGCCGCACCTACATTGTCACCGGCGGCGCGCAGGGCATCGGCTTCGCTCTGTCACGCGCCATTTGCGAAATGGGCGGCCACATCGCCGTCTGGGACATTCAGCCCAAGCCCGTTGCCGAATTCGACACGTTACATGCGCAGTTTGGCGCCAAGACGCTGTATATCCAGACCGACGTGACCCAGCAGGACAGCCTCGAGGCTGCGTTTGCAAAGACGCTGGCCGAGTTTGGCACCATCGACGGTTGCGTGCCCGCGGCCGGCATCGCCATTGATAAACCCTTTGTGGACCAGACCTGGGACGAATTCAACCGCATCCAGGAGATTAATGTACCAGAGTAATCCCCTTGTTTGCTGAAGAACTGAGCCAGTGCTTCCCCCCCCTGCTAACCGGCTTTATCTGAAACCAAAAAAACAGGTCCGCGGAACATTCTTCACCGTGCAATTGGTCGCCAAGGAACTCATCAAGCAAAAGAAACCAGGCAGCATCCTTCTCATCGCCAGCCAGTCGGCGCACATTGCCCTGCCGGGGTACCGCATGGCCGCCTACAACGCTTCCAAGGGCGGGGTGCTGATGCTGGCCAGGGTGCTCGGCGTCGAGCTCGCGCCGCACGGCATCCGCGTCAACACCATCTCGCCGGGCTTTGTCGACTCAGAGATGACGAGAAACGTGCGCGCGACAAAGAGCGGGCGCGAGGGCGAGCAGATGTGGCGCGCGCCGCCCAACCAGCGTCTGAGCCGCCAGGACGACCTCACCGGCGCCGCGGTTTACCTGCTGAGCGACGCGTCGGTGCATACGACGGCCGCAGATATTGCCATTACGGGCGGATTGCACGCAGGGACGATCGATGGCCTGATTTCGTACGAGTGATTTTTTTTTAAAGACAATTGCAGCCTGGCAAGCTTCCTGCGCCCGTGCAGGGTCCTCGATAGTGCGACGAGGCTGGGTCGTCTCATCTGCCGAATGACATCCTGGTCAAATAGTTAGGTCAAAAGACTTGGCCGTGGCTGACGATAGCGCGGCCATTTGTTGCGCACTATATAAGCTGATGTCGCTGAAAGCACATATTCCGCTAGCCGGAAAACGCGCCGCAACCTGGACAGCTTTATCAGGATTGTGATGTGTCTTACGCATCCCCAGTCTAATATTTGTGGTCTCACGCCACAATATGAAAAATAGATGCAATACACAGAACTACCCCTCACCGCCCGCCGCCCCCCCCCCCCCCATCTCCGCAGCCGAAACCTGTACTGATTCGGGTGTTGCTCTGTGAACTGTCTCGACGGGCGCAGCTACATACCAACCAGCACCAAGTAGCACAATCCGCAGATAGCCTGTCGTATCGGCGGGAAAGCCGATAGATACATAGCTCGAGCTCTGACCACTCTGCGGGGGGCGGATAGATCGTCCGCTAAAGATGAAGATGCAGGCTCGGGGAATAATAACTAATACAAATACGATTCCCCGCACGTGGGACTCTGAGAGCCTGGTCATGTTGGACGCCGAATATATATCAGCCGAGGCATTGGTACAATCATTCCTCCCTCTTCCATATTCTCAAAAGAAGCCATTGATACCCCCAACAACCCTCAGACACATTGGACAAGTATGGGCGAGGCTTATGACATTGTCGTCGTTGGTGCCGGTAAGATGCCCCCCTTCCCAACATCCAAAACCAGGGTCCGGAAGGCGTGGTCCCTGCTAACATGTGTTTTTCGTCTCGCTTCGCAGGCTGGTACGGCCTGGCCGCCGCCAAAGCCGTCTCCCAGCTGCAGCCAGACAAGACCCTGGCCGTGTTCGACAGCGGCGCGAGCTGCGGCGGCACCTGGTCCGAGCAGCGCCTGTACCCGGGCCTCGCGTCCAACAACATGCTCGGCACCTACGAGTACCCAGACTTCCCCATGTCCACCGAGCGCTACGGCGTGCCGGCCGACACCCACATCCCCGGCGGCGTGGTGCACCGGTACCTGACCGACTTTGCGCGCCATTTCGGCTTCTGGGACAAGATCCAGTTCCGCACCACCGTCGACGCCGTCGAACCGGCACCCGATGACGCCTGGACCCTGAGCGTCACCGGCCCGGACGGCACCCGCCGCACCGTCGCCGCCCGCAAGCTGGTTCTCGCCACCGGCCTGACGTCCACCCCCAACATGCCGACGTACCAGGGCAGCGCGGACCTCGGCGTGCCGCTCTTCCACGCCAAGGACTTTGGCGCCCGCGCGCCCGGGCTCGGGCCGGTGCGCAACGCCGTCGTCGTCGGCGGCGCCAAGTCGGCGTACGACGTCGCGTACGCGCTCGTGCAAGACGGCGCCACCGTGGACCTTGTGATCCGCGATGACGGGCGCGGCCCCGTCTGGATCGCGCCGTCGCGCGTCACGCCGTTCAAGGCGCGCCTCGATCAGCTGCTGCTGATCCGGTGGATGACGTGGATGGCGCCGTGCCCATGGGGCGGCGAGGACGGCTTCGGCCGCGTGCGGCGCTTCCTGCACGGCACCGCCCTCGGACGGCTGCTGGTCGACGCCTTCTGGAAGGTGCTGTCGGCGGACGTGGTGGCGGCCAACGGGTACGACGCGCACCACGAGGTGCGCAAGCTCAAGCCGTGGCACTCTGCGTTCTGGACCGGCAGCGGGCTGAGCATCCTCAACTACGAGACGCCGTTTTTCGACCTCGTGCGCGACGGCCGCGTACGCGTGCACGTCGGCCAGGTGGACCGCATGGAGCCGCGGACCGTGGTCATGACGGACGGCACGCGGCTGGCGGCCGACGTGGTGGTGTGCGCCACGGGCTGGCGCAAGGAGTCGTCGATTGAGTTTCACAATCTGGGGCCGCGCCCGTTTGGCCTGGACGGGTCCGACGCCGAGCGCGCCAAGCGTAACGCCAAGGCGGACGGGGACGTGCTGGCGCTGTTCCCGCGGCTCCGGCAGCAGCCGCAGCTGCGCTTCGCGACGCCGCCGACGGGCGAGCCGCTGCGCCTCTACCGGTTCATGGTGCCGGCCGGCCACGTGTTTTCGCGCAACGTCGCGTTTGCCGGCGCCATCTCGAGCATCAACACGTCGGTGTGCGCCGCCGCGCAGGGCCAGTGGATCGCCGCCTTCTTCGCCGGCCGGCTCGACCGCCCGCCCGCCGAGGAGGAGCAGGTCGAGGACGAGATCATGTTGCACACGCAGTGGGGGCGGTGGCGGTACCCGTGCGGCTACGGCGCGAGCTTGCCGGATTTTGTCTTTGAGGGGCTGCCGTATGTCGATATGCTGCTGCGGGATATGGGGCTGAAGAGTAATAGGAAAGGGAGCTACTGGGCCGAGTTGACGAAGCCGTATCTGCCAAGCGACTTTAAAGGCTTGGTGGAGGAGTGGAAGGCGTCGCATGACGGGATCGAGGCGGCGACAGCTTGAGGCGTTGGTGGCATGTACCGAATAAGCGAATTTATGACGAAATGAAATTTAATTGAATGCGCAGTCTTGCAGATACATTATTGTTCAGAGGTTCACGATAAAGCAAGGCCTATCCTATCTTGTCTTGTATCCCCGGCGTGTAGCATGTCTATAGAGTGTCTAAAAAAGCCTTGCGCTTGTAGTTGAGACGCGCGAAAGACTTGACAAATGAAAACACAGAAGCCGACCAATATTGCCAGTTGATTTACCGGTAAATCATGTCGTCGCGTTTAGCTATAGTCGGATTAGCATTAGCACGTTGCACCCAACGACCTCTTCTCAGGCATGTACTTACGTCCGGTACCGATCCACTTGATGGGGACGTTGAGGAACTTTTCAATGTACTCAATGTACTCCTTGGCCTCCTCGGGCAGCTCCGCATACGTCTTGATGGACGTGATGGGCGTCTGCCAGCCCTTGAACTCCTCGTAGACGACCTCGAGCGCCTCGAGCTGGTCGAGGTCGGCGGGAAAGTAGTCAATCAAGTCGCCCGTCTCAGGGTCCTTGTACGCGACGGCGACCTGGATGACGGGAAAGGTGTCGAGGATGTCGAGCTTGGTCAGGTTCAGCGCCGTGTACTTGTTGATGGCACACGAGTACTTGAGCACTGCCAGGTCGAGCCAGCCGCAGCGACGGCGGCGGCCGGTCGACACGCCCCATTCGCGGCCAATCTCCTGCAGCTTGTTGCCGGCTTCGCCGAGATCCTCCGTCTTGAAGGGCCCGCCACCCACCCGCGTCGTGTACGCCTTGACAACGCTGTTCTGGTTAGCCTCGAGTACGGACTCGGGTGCATTTTCTGTACTGGTGCATACCCAATGATTTCCTTGAGCTTGAACGGGCTCAGAGCCAGACCTTTGATGGCACCGCCGATATCAGTGTTGGAGCTGGTGACGAACGGGTAGGTGCCGTAGTCCACGTCCAGCATGAGCGCATTGGCACCTTCGACCAAGATCTTCTTGGAAGCGTCGTCCTGGGCATTCTCCATAAAGGTGACGGCATTGATGCAAAACGGTCTTAGCATCTCGCGCCACTCCTGAAATTTCTTGATCTCGTCCTCGACATTGTAATCGAGGAGGTCGCCGAAGCGCTTCTTGTACCCACTTGCCAACTCGCGGAGCCTCTTTTCAAATTTCGCCTGGTTGAAAATCTCGTGGACCCGGATTCCGCTGCGGCTAGCTTTACTACAAGGGAAGTTAGTTTGACCGCAAAAAACGCTCAGTGTTTTGGAAAACAAACTCGGCGTAGCTGGGGCCGATGCCTCGCCCGGTCGTGCCAATCTTGCGGGTTCCTAGCTCCGCCTCCTCCAGACCGTCGACGCGGGCGTGGAGCTCCAGGTTGACCTGGGCGCGGTCGCTGACGAGGATGCGCTCCCGCACGTCCTTGAGGCCCTTGTCCTCGAGCGCCTGCAGCTCGGAGAAGAAGGCATGGACGCTGAAGACGACACCGGAGCCAATCAGGTTCATGCAGCGCGGGCTGATGAGACCAGACGGCAGCAAGTGGAAGCTGCATGTGCGTTAGTTGGTTATTACTTATTGTGTCTCGTCAGTTTCGGTTCGAAGTGTACGTACTCGTAGGAGACTCCATTGGCACTGCGCATTCAAATGTTAGCAAGACCTACATCCATAGACGCGAAAATGAAAACAACGTCGCAACGTACTGGACGGAGTGGCCTGCGTTTGCCCCCCCGGCAGCGCGACAACACAAATCAGCCTCGCCGCAGAGGATATCGCTAATCTTTCCTTTTCCTTCGTCGCCTAGAAATTGCAAGCGCAAGAATGCTCAGTTAGCTTTCGTGGTCGCGACTTGGCCCTTATGCCTCATGGAGGGGCTGTTTGCGCGAACGGCTGAAATTGCGACATACCCCACTGGGAGCCGAGAATGACTGTAATACTCATGGTGGGCGAATGAGAGAATGTATTGTGAGGAAGAGATGGAAAGTAGAGGAATTAGAATTGGTCAAAAAAAAAGGCACAGTTCAAGACAACCGAAAGGTCGCTTCCAGAAGAAGAAGAGACGGAAAAAAGGCGAGGGAAAAAAAGGTTCGAGTCACGGCACTAGAAATAGACAAAGGTGGGCAGCCGCGGGGCAAGAACTTTTCAGTGAATTAGCCTTGATCAAGTACAGATCGCCAACTCCGGCTAGGTCTACAGTCTCTATTGTTTATCAAATACATAGGTGCCCGTCGCATAATGGCCTTCTGAAACATGTTGCAGTTTTTTTTTTTTTTTTTTTTTTTTTGCCCTCTCATATGTCCTTCGGTGACTTGTCAACAGGGCTGCCAATTAATCGCAAATCGCGGCGTGGAGGGGCAGCCGAGGGCGGAGCAGCTCCGTGACCGGCCATTCCCGATGAGGCGTCATTTCTGCAGGCCGGGAGAGCGTCGAAATTATGCTTGCATGCGTCAAAGAGGCAAAGGCTGCATCTCGTTAAAAAAACGCACGCGGGAGGAGAGGGGGGCTCTTCATTTATTCCCACGCTCTTTGTGGCCAGAGCATGACGCGGTCGGGCCAGCCGGGATACAGACGGCATCACCAGTGACCGCAAGGGGATACAAGGGTTTTACGATATTTCCCTCCCAACATGTGGCGAGAAATTTCCTGGAAATCGCCCGTCGGCTCAGGCAGTGTAACCAGATGTCACGATAAAACTAGGGTACACAGGGCCTTGCATCATTATCCATTACAGGTTATTTACGTGAAAACGAGCTTACGAGAGCACACAGGACGTTTCCGCTGGCATCTGCGCCCGATCGGCTTACTACAGCTCCTCGCTCTCAAATGCCACCATGTCCTGCAAATCCGTCCTCGGCTGAATATGCGGTCTCACCGTCCCGCGCACCTGCGTCAGCTGCTCCAGCGCATATGCCATGCCAATCAGCTTGTCCTCTGAAAAATAGTCGCCCGCGAATCCAAACCCAAATGGGTGATTTGGGCCCATGTCATTCAGCGTGTCCACCTCGTTGCGGTGATATGCAGTATCCGGGCCGGTGCAGCCCATGGGCACGGAAATGACGGGAGCGCCCTGCACGGCAATCTTGGTCGCAATGGCCGAAGGCACTATCATGGCGTCCAGGCTGTTGTTTCGGAGGGCGCCTATGAGGCCCAGCTCATTGCTCTGGTGGTATCGTTCAGTGTAGTACTCCCACCAAATGGGCATCGTATTGTTGATGTTACGCTTGAGAACCATGTTGAATGTCATAAAGTCAAACTCGTCTGATTCTGTAGACGATTGGTCTGTAAATGTGCGGACGTCGGACAGGTCGTGAATGTCGTTGGGGTTCGTCTCCAGCTCGGCCAGATACTTGGGCAGATCTGTCAAAAAGTCGGCACCAGTGATGATGCCGGTTCGGCCGGCCTTGTTCATGAGTTCCCATCCAGGCATGTCGACGCCCTCCAACACCTCCGCGCCGGCCTCCCGCAAGAGTCCAACAGTCGCGTCAAACGCATCGAACGACACGTCTGCGGAAAGGTACGGATACATGCTCCTGTAGTCCCTGGGCACGCCAAGCCGCTTGCCCTTTAAGGCGTCCTTGTGGCAGGCGGCCACGTAGTCTGGCAGCGTTCCCGGCGCGGCCCGAGTATAATTGTCTCTGCTGTCGGGTCCGGCAATTGCTTGCAGCAAGTGTGCCGCATCCTTGACGGTGCGGGCCATGGGGCCCACGCTGTCCTGGTGCTCCGAGATGGGGATGACGAGAAACCGCGACGTCAGTCCCACCGTTGGCTTGATGCCCACGATGTTGTTGGCGTGGGCGGGATCGCAGATCGAGCCCAGCGTCTCCGTGCCGAGCGAGGCCCAGGCGAGTCCGAGGGACGCCGCCACGGCGCTGCCAGACGATGAGCCGTCGGGATCTTGCTGTGGAAAGTAAGCACCGATTGTCTGGCCGCCGTGCGCCGACCAACCATTGCTGGCCTGCAGGCTGCGCGAACCTGCCCACTGGGAAAGGTTGGCCTTGCCCAGGATGACAGCCCCGGCTTCGCGGAGCCGCCTGACGACGGTGCTGTCTTCCCTGAGCGTCGCCCCTAGCAGCGCCGTCGATCCAGCGGTGTTGTTCATCTTGTCTGCGGTCCCTATGTTGTTTTTGACCAGTATTGGTATTCCATGCAGCGGCTTCAGCGGTGCTGTGGCCGCCTTGCGTGCGCGGTCCAGCTCGGCGGCGATGACCAGAGCATCGGGATTGATTTCGGTGACGGCGTGGAGGTCCTTGTTGACTTCTTGGATGCGCGCAATGTATGCTTTTGTCAGCTCCACGCTCGTGAAACGGCCCGCGTCCAGTCCGGCGCGGAGTTCATCAAGCGTTGCTTCCAGTAAGAGCGGAAGTCGGTGGCCGTCGTTTGCCCTGCCAAGGCTGCCCTGTAACAAGAGGCTGATGGCGCCCGTGGTGAACACAAAGAGGCGCATGGCGCAGCGCTGTTCTTGCTACCCTGGCTCCGGTGCCTATATGCAGGAAAATCCACTTCTTTCGATGTCAAAGTAGAGATTTAAATATGGCTGCAACATTCATTCGATGGATACTGCCCTTGGAATGAGAGGCAGGTGTACCCGTGTAGTCTAGTTTTAGTAGCTCCTCAATGTCGATCGACCTGTATGCTTACGTGGCTGGTAAAGCCAGAGTGCGTGAGAGCAACAAGCCAGCAACATAATAGAATATTATTTTATGCATGAAAATAGTAGAATCCTAGTGATATTCAATGTAGTTTGATGTACTCCGTACTTCTCATAGCATAGGTGCATTGCCAATCAATCTCAACCATAATCCTCGGTGCACCCATCCGGTGTCCATTCCTAACCTGCAGTCATTGTAAGTGAGCCCGAGGAGACCTTGGCAGACAGCCACGTGTTTAGGAAGGCGGTAGAATTATTAATACAATGACACGTCAGAAATAGTTTTCAACATGGATTTTGATTCGTCTCCGCATTTGGTGTTCACTTTTGTGAACAGTGAAATAGATTTACAGCGAGTTGCTCCCGCTTGCCAGTAAATACTAAGATATTCTGAAGACAGAACAGAGGTTGGAATTCCGCAAAAGAAATTCGACAGCTTTACAATCACTCTAAACCTCAAATTTTTCCCAGATTGTCGGCGACCTGGACCGGCCACTACATTGGCGGCCCTGTCGCTCAACGGTGTCATCAAGGGGAGTAACAAGATCATGTCAGAGAATCCCAGATTGTTCACGTATTCGATATGGCCGACATCTTCAATGACCAAGCCTGAGCCCTGCACATTGGGGCATCCCAGAAGCAATTGAAGAATGCCTTCCTCCAACGCCGTGAACAGCATAGCATGCTCCAGATCTTTGGCCAATGTCCTCAACTCTGCGCCGGCGGGCCGGGTACGCCCGCCCCGATAGTACCAGCATTAAGGGAGATGTACGAACTACAGATAGGGACTCATGGAACCCGAGTACATATATCGCAACATGGATAGTAGTACGGCCATGGCTGCAGTCTTGATTCAGCCAGCCCGCGAACGCCGCGACGCCACGGGCACTCCTGAAGGGCACCACCACGATGACGGCACCCAACCGAGGCAAGCTTTGTGGGGGAAACCTGACTTATTAGGTTTTATTTTTATTGATAAATGCGGCACATATGCACTCTCACCAAAGGAGACGGGCTCCAATTTCATAGCGGTCGCTTGTTTATTAATTGCCGTTCCGTCCCAGGTAGCTGGTTTCTGGCTGCATCATTACCATCACCACGTGTTGCAGAGCATCTGTAGGCACCAGGATACATACGATACATACTATTTCCTACCTTTTCCATTGGAGCTAACTGCATCATGTCGCAAACTTGTTCCTCATCAGATCAGCATACATACCGTCGTCCTGCGGAGAATGGACAACAGCAGTTTGTCATTCTTGCCTGGCCGGGAGAGTCCATGGAGTACTACGAACAATTTGAAGGGTCACGGGCCGCGGTCAAGGATACAATTTCCGCCATTGCCGACGCCGCCGCGCGATTCGTGCGTGTAAAACTACTCGTCGAAGAAAAGGACCTCGCGGCGGCCAGGCAGCGCTTCGCCGCCAGCAACGCAAAAAACGCGCACCACGTCGACGTCTGCACCGTCAGCACCGGCTGCCCAGACGTGTGGATGCGGGATATGGCGCCCACGTTTACCGTCAGCGACGATGGCACGCTCTGCGGCGTTGATTGGCACTTCAACGGCTGGGGCGGCCAGAAGACCTCGGAAGCATGCCTCCAGCTTGCCCGGTCGCTGCTCGCCGACTTTGCCATACCGCGCATCGCCGGCTCGATCGTGACAGAGGGCGGCGCGCTCGAGGTCGACGGCGAGGGTACCCTCATCGCCAGTGAAAGCTCCCTCATCAACGACAACCGAAACCCGGGCAAGACGAAGGACCAGGTAGAGGCTGAGCTCAGCCGCACGCTCGGCATACGCAAGTTCATCTGGGTGCCGGGCCGGAAGGACCTCGACTCAACCGATTTTCACATTGACGCCGTGGCGCGCTTCGTGCGCCCCGGCGTCGTGCTCTGTTCCCGGCCGCGGGACAAGCCCACTGGGGAGGACGAAGAAGAGGGCGAGTGGATCGCAGCGCACGCGGAAGTGCGCCAGATCCTGGCTGCCGCCACGGACGCGCGTGGCCGGCCGCTCGAGGTGCTCGAGGTGCTCGAACCCCGAATCGGCAAGGAGTGCTGGCTGCCGAACCCACCCCCCGGCGCTCGCGCCGTCTTTAGCTATGCCAACTACCTCCTCGTGGGGGGCGGCGGCGTGATTCTCTCCCAGTTTGGCGACGGCGAGGCGGATGCGGCTGCGTTGGCGACGGTGCGCGCAGCGTTTCCGGAGAGGGAGGTGGTGCCCGTGTATGCGCGTTCATTGGGCTTGTTTGGTGGCGGGATCCATTGCGCATCACAAGAGGTTCCTCATGTCTAGGCAAAAGGCGTTTAGTAGGGGGGTCAAAGCGCAATTTGCGCGGAATGAAACTCAGTTGACCTTTGGTCTGTGGCCTTTTCTGGCCGATATCTTTGTCAGCCGCGAATCTTCTGCCCAGTGACGACTATGTGAAACCCCGATGTGCCTTGCAGCAGTTCTGTCATGTCGTCGGCTCGAACGATGTATTTGTCCGCGGGCGCTAGGAATAACCGGCTCAAGAATGAGGCACAAAATGCCATGACGGGGATGCCAGTTTTTGCTGAGCGCATAGTTGAACTTGGCATGCCGGCAATTGGGGTCGGGACTGGTAAAGCAGGTTCGTTCGATTGCAGGTCATGGCGACATCGTAGGGCAGCTGGATCGGAAATCTACGCGCTACCGTAGTTAACAGCAAAGCATGACGTTTGACGATTACCTCGAAACGGGTTCCCTTTTCCGATGGTAGGTTCGTCCCGTCCACGAATTGTCGTTTCCCGGTTGCCTTGCCGAAATGGTGCGTAAAGGGGGTGTGTGGTGGTCAACCCCGCGGGGGTCGCAGACTCGGCAGGCAGCATCGGAATGTCAAGCCTCCGCAGAGTCCGCAGGGTCCGAGGAGGCCGGAGTGTGTCAGGTTGAAAAACATGGGGCCAATTTTTTTTCCATCGTGATCTCTGGCGGCTGTATGGCACGGCAATAGTCTACATAATAGAGGTCGTGTGAGCATTATACACTCACATGCCGCCCAGACAGCCGAATGTGGTGACTGCCCCGGGCCACGGCTTTGCCAGCGAACGGAGTAGGAGGAGGCTACAATTTTCAGTCGCCGCGCCCGAGAGCCTGCTCCGTACTAGGTACATAGGTAGGTAGAGTACAACGGCCCTGCAAAAGGTATTAGTGCGTAAATCTAGTGCGACAGCCTCAGCAACCTCAGGGCCAGGCACAAGTTAAGTTAGGGCATCTTGCCGTGGAATTGAGGCGCGGTTTCCGACAGAACGATCCTCGGAAATGCGAGTCCGCGCCATCGGTAATGCAGCGGCACGTTAAGCCGCAGGTAGCACCAGAAAAATATTGCTCTTTAGACTCGCCAGTTTTTTTTCGCGCCACTGCCGGTTTTGACTGTGTCCGACGAGCAAATGGATCGCTTCCATCTCGGAATCGCAAGTACAGTCAGATTGCGACAAAGTTTGGCCACTGCGGCGCGCGCAATGGAGACAGCGAGGCAACGGCGCGGGTTTCCGCCGCTGTCCTAGTCAGCCGCCGGGGCCGGGTAGAAGATGCTGGAAAGCCACAGGGATCACATGCGAATACGCGGAGGGCCGTTAGACACGGAGCGAGTTCTGTCGCACTGGGGGTTGTTTATCGTAGAATTGACGAGGTACACTTGGTCGATGGTCGATGGTCATTGATCATTGATCATTGCAAGGTCGCACATGGCTTCAACGTGGGAACATGGCGCATGCTGGATCAGGACCGGATATGTTCCTCCGGTACCTAGGGAATAAACCAGTCTCCGAGTATGTAGGTGAGCCAGAGGCTCCAGTAATCAGGTCCTGTCACGGTCGCAGCAAGTGCATCGGGTCGAAGTTGTGCCCGGGTAGACCGACAAGGGCTACACGCTGGCTACCTACATAGGCAGCGGCTTTCAGCGGTTGGTTCTTCACTAACGTCAAGTCAATATTGAATCCAGTGCTGGAATCGAAGAGGCTGGAGAAACCCCCGGTTGAATCTCCGAAGTTCCGTGTCAAGTCGTTGTGAGCACACTCTCCCCACGGGGATCAATATCCGGGGACTCGACGGCTATCGTTGAGTATCATTCGTACTTCGCATTATCGTCAACGCTGGTCATTGGTTTCATCTTATGCCGATCAACTCTAGTTATTACGCCGTCGGCGGTGTTGCTTCGCTAGTGTTCCGGCCGAGCCAGCGAGCCCTGGATTTTTTTCTTCCTCACCCATCAGCCCACCCCACTCAACAGCCAACTCCACCTGGCCTCTCGGGAATCCCCAGTCCAGCCAGCATCGACCATCCACGAACAAAACCGTGTGTGCTGTCCTCTAAATTCCTTCGTAACAGAGCGCAATACCTCCTCAGCGCCTAGAGTCCACATCAGCGTCTCCTTGTTCTGCCGCTTCTCTTCTCCCTCTGCTCATCCAATCTCGGCATAACCAAATTGTCGCCCATAGGTTCGCCGCACTCGGGTAGCTTCCGTATAGCCTCGTCGTCCCTCCCCCCTTTGTCGCTCCCCCCCACCGCCGCTTCTTCTCTGGTCCTGCCCCGATTGGCGCAATGGCCGACCTCGATACGCTCGACATCATAGTCCTGGGAGTCATTCTCCTGGGTACCATTGCCTACTTCACCAAGGGGACGCTATGGGGCGTCGTCAAGGACCCTTATGCCAGCTCCTTTGCGGCCAACGTCGGTACAAAGCCGGGGCGCACCAGGAACTTTATCGAGAAGATGGACGAGACCAACAAGAACTGCATCGTCTTCTACGGCTCCCAGACGGGCACCGCCGAGGACTACGCCTCGCGTCTCGCCAAGGAGGGCAAGAGTCGCTTCGGCCTCAACACCATGGTCGCTGATCTCGAGGACTACGACTACGACAACCTCGACGAGTTCCCCGCGGACAAGATTATCATGTTCGTCCTCGCCACCTACGGAGAGGGCGAGCCCACCGACAACGCCGTCGAGTTTTATGAGCATATTCGCGGCGACGACGTCTCCTTCACCAACGGCAGCTCCCTGGAAAACCTCAAGTACGTCGCCTTTGGCCTAGGCAACAACACCTACGAACACTACAACTCGGTAGTGCGTCACGTCGACGAGACACTCACCAAGCTCGGAGGAACCCGCATCGGCGTCGCCGGTGAGGGTGACGACGGCGCCGGCACCATGGAAGAGGATTTCCTCGCCTGGAAGGAACCCATGTGGGCTGCGCTCGCCGAAAGCATGGGTCTCGAGGAGCGCGAGGCCATCTACGAACCCACCTTTGCCATTGTCGAACGCGATACCCTGACCGCCGAGTCCGAGGAGGTCTACCTCGGCGAACCCAACAAGAACTACCTCCAAGGCACTCCCAAAGGCCCGTACAACGCGCAGAACCCCTACACCGCCGCCGTTGCCGAATCGCGTGAGCTCTTCAACTCCAAGGACCGCAGCTGCATTCACATGGAAATCGACATTTCTGGCTCCAACCTGACCTACCAGACCGGCGATCACATCGCCGTCTGGCCCTCCAACGCGGGCAACCAGGTCGACCTGTTCCTCAAGGCTCTGGATCTCACCGACAAGCGCAACGACGTCATTAGCATCAAGGCCCTCGAGCCCACCGCCAAGGTCCCCTTCCCTACGCCCACCACCTACGATGCCATTGTCCGCTACCACATGGAAATTTGCGCCCCCGTCTCTCGCCAGATGGTCTCGACCCTCGCGCCCTTTTCGCCCACGGAGAAGATTAAGACGGAGATGACGCGCCTCGGAAGCGACAAGGATTATTTCCACGAGAAAACTGGCCACTCGTTCTACAACATTGCCCAATTCCTAACTGTCATTAGCGAAGGCGCGACTTGGGACAAGATTCCCTTTTCCGCCTTTGTTGAAGGCCTCAACAAGCTTCAGCCTCGCTACTACTCCATCTCGTCCTCGTCTCTCGTGCAGCCCAAAAAGGTCGCCATTACCGCTGTCGTCGAGACCCAGGCCTTGCCCTCGCAGAAGGCGCCGTTCCGCGGCGTCGCCACCCACTTCATCGCTGCCCTGGCCGACAAGCAGAACAACGGCGCCAAATCGGACGAGTTTGATCTCAGCTACCAGATTGGCGGTCCCCGCGCGCGCCACACGGGTACTCACCTACCCGTGCACATCCGTCACTCCAACTTCAAGCTCCCCTCGGACCCTAGCCGCCCCGTCATCATGGTCGGTCCTGGCACCGGTGTCGCGCCGTTTCGCGCCTTCGTCCAGGAGCGCGCCAAGCAGGCCCAGGACGGTGCTGACGTGGGCAAGACGCTGCTCTTCTTCGGCAGCCGCAATGCTAAGGAGGACTACCTCTACGAGAGCGAGTGGGCCGAGTACAAAAAGGTCCTCGGCGACAAGTTCGAGCTCGTCACAGCCTTTTCTCGCGACTCAGCCAAGAAGGTCTACGTCCAGCACCGGCTCAAGGAAAAGGGCGAGGAAGTCCACGAGCTTCTCCAGAAGAAGGCGCTCTTTTACGTCTGCGGCGACGCCGCCCGCATGGCCCGCGAGGTCAACACCACGCTGGCCCAAATCATTTCCGAATACCGTAAAGTCACTCCTGCCAAGGCCGATGAGGTTGTTAAGTCGATGAGAGCTGCCAATCAATATCAGGTACGTTTGCCCAATTTTTTTTGCCTACTCCTTCCTGTGGGCCACTGAGCACCCCTCCTTCCTTGACAATCCGAGGATTGCTCAGGTCAACTTACTCAATGCTAACTGTGGAATTCTAGGAGGATGTTTGGTCCTAAATGTGACAATTTCAATAAATACACTGCTTCCCCCCCTTTAGGCGGGCCTGGAGACATTAAAATGACCATTATATAATGAGGGGTTAGGATGGGAACACTACATGATGAGGGACGCTCATAGACTTTGGTTCTGCTCGAAACGTATTTATTGTTTTTTTATATCAAGTAGATGGTAACAGGTTGAATTTTTTTGGGTCTGTATTCTCCGTATCCGGGTCCATCCTCGGACAACCGTGGCTGCTGCAATTGCTACAATGCTGATAGCCATTGAAAACTGTGACTGTTTCTTCACCGGCTGGGGCAACAGCTACGTATGTCCGCGAGTCAAACCTGGACAACATGGTGTTCGGATTCCGGATATTAATACTCGGAGTAACTAGCGCAGCTAGATTCCTTTCCAAAGATTCTTTGGCGTCCTGGCAATGGCTTTTTACCCTGCCTTGTTGCCAGCTGAGCGAGAAAAGAGTCGAGAAGGAACATGTCCGGAATCAAAGGGATGTTACTCGCCCTTGGGGGGCCATTCCGAGCAGTGAATTTTTCTCACGTGCCACCGTCCATCGTGCCATCGTGACACGACGCCACCTTGTCTGCATAGCAGAGAACGAACCTCAGACATTTTGACGCGGACTGCGGGCGTCTGTCACTTTCCACCCTGTACGCCCGCCCTGTTTCCTCCCCGTTAGCAATGTCAATGGGCCGACTCCTACTTTCAGTGATTTGAAAATAAGATGGGAGTAAAACTAGAAGGAAGGAAAATTGCGGCCATCTCTCCGCCCTCGGATTGGCAAGATGTCGAGGAAGCGCCTTGACCTAGATGCAGGGCGCAGTTCTGCATGATTTATTGGCGCTCAGCTGAGGCTGCTTCGTTGCGAGATTCAGGACGAAGAATGAACCAGTACTTTTTTCGTCTTGTAAACAAGCAGACTGGATGGTTCGAGATGGCCCCCGCAAAGGCAAGGGGGGGCACGGCCCGTTGAGCGGGTGGCGTTTTGGGCCAGCTGAATGGGATGGCATTCATGACATGTTGCGGGTAAAAAACTGGCCACATACATACAGTTTAGGGGCCGTATTCGAAAGGCTTGAAAGGAGATACGGGAGGGGGGGATAAATGGAAGATGAAGTAGAAAATAAATATCAAGAAAATAACAAAGAATGAGAATAATATCTACATTCCAGATACTGACTTGTAGTTTATTCACCCTGGTGCATAGGTGCTACTGAAGGGCAGCAAATATCCTCTGCGATTCTGGCGGAGAGATGTAACGTCGTTGGCCGATATAAAGGAAGCTCTTCTTCACAGACGCACTCAGACGGCTACAACTAGTTAGGGCGAGACATCAGATGTCCTTGCTGCTCGATCGGTCCGCAGGTGTAGATCTGAAGTTGCACAAGACTGAAATCTGCACATGATTTCTAAAAAGACAACTGGACTCTCGTCGGCGATACTTTGGGGATACAGCATTCGAGCTACCCAAACTCCAGGTTGCCGTGCCATCACTTCAAGAACGCCGTCAACTCAGAGTCCACCCAGCCTGAAAGAGATGACCCTTTTCTCCTCGACACATTGTGACACAAGGTCCCCTTGTTTCATCATATTACTATCCTCAGCAGACACTGTCTCTACCAGTGGGAAAAAGTGACAGCGTGCTTGCTTTTTCGAGGGGTGGTTGACAAGTCGGCCCACTGTCGGCTCGGGCTGAGAGGTTGGAGGGGTGCACCAAGAATGCCAGTGCCAATGTCCTTTTAAAAAAGAAGATGTCGGTTACATTAGCACATTGTGACCAATTAGCAGAAGCAAGTTTCATTTCTTAGGGCCGTTGTAGGCTGTCGGACGTCCTGGGGCCAAGATCCTTTATGCCTTTCCTTTTTTTGGCCCAAGCCTTTAATACAATAGCGGCAAGAACAAAAGAAAGGAAAGCAACAACAGGAAGAAAAAGAAAGAAAAGGAGAAAAATAGCAACATCATTGTAATATCTCCCAGTGGAATCAAAGCTGCAAGTGCAATGTAGAGCAGCATCCATCCAAGACTAGACAGATAGGTATCCAGCGACCCATTCGCAGAAGCCCACATCGTCCGGTCAAGCTCAATGTCGCAGCATGAAAAGAAAATGTCTAAGGGGAGGCATGCTGACGCCTTGACCTTGGCAAGGGGCGAATCACGCCTCTGCCTCTGGCGACCTGTCTGAGAATAGGCAAAAAAAGAAACGATTTATTAATGGGTTGCCCACTTGGGCCGGCGCAGGTGGCTGGCCAGCTAGTTAGTTCGTCTGAATCGCTTGGGTGAAAGAAGAAAAAGTTCCCGGCGTATAAGCAGGGAATTATCCCCAATCGCATTGCCTTTCTGGTTGTACGCCGCACAATTCTTCTGCGCGTCGTGTCGTTTTCCGCATCTCTTACGCATCTGTGTCGCCCACTGTGAGTATATACAGACAGCCTTGCGTCCCGTTTGCCAAACTAAATCTCCTTGCAGCTTTTTTTTTCTCTTCAAAAATATCCTTATCTGTGCAAAACTACCACTCTCTTGCTTTATTCTCTCTGTCGGCACTTGCACAGGTTGGTGCTCGTACCAGCGGTCGCGCCTCAGCTGTCCGCGCAGCAGCACTGCACCGTTTCGCAATCGTGCTTAGTGTCGATTTCTTCATTTTGTTCTTGATGCGTGTATTTCGTACCGAGGGCCAATCTGTGTTTTTCTTCATCTCTAGCGCCTTGCTTTCGGTGCCGTTTCGCTCGCGTGGCGTCGTGCCGCCGTTCGCCTTGCCGTCGTCTCGCTGCCGCTTGCGAGACTGCAATAAGTGATACACCTGTTACACGGGTACGACACTGACCGTCATTAATCATATTGGATATTGTCGGGAAGAACAACCAGCAAAGTGCTCGTCTTCCCATTTATTCATTGTTGCCCGACTTGACTCCATTACCTGATCAGAGGTTGGCACTCGTCCAAACAACCTGGCAGCTGCCACGACCGGCGATTCACAACCGCCGTGCAAACGATAACGATAAGTGGTCAAGTCCCTTCAAGAGCTCTCGGCTAGCTCTGGCCGGCATCTGTCGTCTCTGCTTCTCTCTTTCTGCATTGCAGCCATCGCCGTTTCGTGCAAGCGAAGCTAGTCTCCTTTGCTTTTGCATCCTTAACACCTTCCGCCTCAGTTACGACGCTCGTGACTACCTCGACACAGCTGGCCCTTTCATCTTTAGGTAAGCCATCTCGCTTGCAGTGCTACTGCTGTCCTTTTCACCCTCTGTCGTCTTCTTCTGTTCCCATTCTTCTTCTTCTCTCCTCCATAGCATCACCAAACATTGGCCGACAGTCAACTCTCTACGCCATTCCAGATTCCCATTCATCTTGCTTGATAGCTTCCCCATCTTATCCAATTTGCAGTTATCTCTGCCGGTCCCCAACTCCGCACCTCCAGCTAAAACACGACTTTTCCTCCGCTTCCACGAAAAGGTGCCGTCCCTCAGAATCCTTTCACCTCCCCCTGTCGTTTCAGCCTTCTCTGGATGCTGTACACACCCCTTGCTATCCCTTTGATCTCCCTCGAGTCCGTTGTTTTGCATCATGATTCATTACCGACAGTGACTCTACACTCTGGCCCGGGCTCGTTGCTGACTACCTGGCCTCAAACAGATCTTTGCTGCACTCGCGGCTGGTTGTTCGGTTATTAAGCCTCGTTAACTGTAAACTTGTTGCTTCTGGTCCTGAGGTATGTTTGGTACCTTTCTGATTTCACTCATCCCATTTCCATTGTCGCCTGCACAGAGATACTTCAGTTCTTCACAACCTTCTCCAACGACCCCGGAGACTTCGTATACTAACGTGAGTGTTTCTGTCTAGTGATCGCATGTCTTATTACCGCCAAGCTCCCCTCGACATCGGCATGGACGCAAATTCTGCAGTTGCTGCTTCGTATCTACCAAGTCACGGACGCGGCGGCCATCCTTCTCATATCACTGCTCACGGAGGTGACCCCAACGCCCTGATAAATCAATTTGCCAATATGGGTCTCGGTGGCATGAACATGCCTAGTGGCGCTGGTCCTGTTCCCATGGGTCCCGGCCATGCCTTCATGATGGGCTCAGATGGACAATTTGTTCTGGCACCAATGCCTAGTGCTGGTCAACATCTCGGCATGGGTCACAACAACGATGCACACTACCAGAGCTTCTCAATGCCGCATGGCGGCTACGCTGCACCATATGTCGGTGTCCCTCTCCCCCTCATGCCCTATACTCCTGGACGCGTCAACCACGGGCACCATCGCATGGATAGAGGCCACTCGGATGTACCTGGACTCGAAAACCGTCGGGGCTCTTACTCTACTACCGAGTCGACTCCCGCAACTCCATTCTATGGTGCCGTATCCCATCGCGACAATGGTCCCCGCGTCGCCAGCCTTGACCGTTCTGCATATACAACCCCCTCCCCTCAGCAAATTGGCCTTCCTACAATGCATTCCGATGGCCCAAAGGCGACTTTCTCTGCCGTTTCGGAAGCCGCTCTTGATGAGCTTCTCAAGAAAGAGCCCGCTATCCCCAAGGCCGTTCCTGCCGTTTTCACCCCAGCAAACCAGATGAAATCTATCGAGCAGAGTCTCGACAACAGAATCCCTGGTAACCGAAATGTCTATATTCGTGGTCTACATCCAACCACAGATGATGAGCTTTTGTTCCATTTTGCGTCGCGTTTCGGCGGTGTCGAAACTTCCAAGGCCATCATTGACACCGGCACTGGGGCTTGCAAAGGGTATTTCATCCATTGTTTACTTTTATTTTACATGCTGACCCTCTTCAGATTTGGTTTCGCCAAGTTTTTCACCTGCGAAGACTCCGAAATGTGCATCCGAGGCTTCCACAAGCTTGGATACGAAGTGGGCTTCGCTAGAGTACGTAGACCTGGTTGCCCAAAGCCAGAACACTGTTAATATGTCGTATAGGAATCCTTCAACTCTCGCCTCAAGGCCGAAGGCGATGAGGGGTCCACCAACCTGTACATCTCCAACCTACCCAAGACTCTGACCGAAGTGGTATGTGCACAATTTGCCGCCCTGTTTTAGATGATTTTTAACTCTATGGCAGGAGCTTGGAACCATCTTCCTTGGCTATACCATTCTTTCCAGCAAGATTCTACGAGACAGTATGGGTAACAGTCGTGGCGTTGGGTTTGCTCGGTTAGTCGTCCCTGGCTTAAGATCACCTGCTCGTGCGCTAACCTCTTTCTCCAGATTCGAGACACGCGACGTCTGTGATGAAATCATTAGAAAATTCAACGGCGTTGGCATTGGCGAAGAGGGTTTGTTGATGAATATCCGTTACGCCGATACTCCATCCCAGAAGGAGCTCAAGCGAGTCACTGCTGAGCGCCGTCAATTCCGCACCAACGAATACAACATCGGTGCCTATGGCACTCCTCTGGTTGGGCTGAACCCAACTCTATACAACCAACAGTCGCAGTGGCGTCGCTCCATTCCGCAGTCACGAAGGTGATTTGGCTTGATTATGTTGTTTTTTGTTACTATCTAATGCTATTATAGTGGCTTGTCGGCATCTTCGAGCGGCGACAGCAGTGCCATGAGACACTCGGGTACCGGACGCGGGCCTTCTGAGTATGAATCTAGGCAGACTGTTTTGTCGTCTTTCTAACTTCTGTAGGGCGGCTACAAGCTCGAGCACGGACGCTGCTATCTCTACCCCCACTACTTCCGAGTTCGATGAGGGCACGACGATTCACGCCGATCATGCCGCAGCCGCCGCTGTAAAGAAAGAGAACATGCCGGTTTCGCCTTCCATCGTGAAGAAGGAGCCCGTGAACTGAACAAATGACGAATAATTCTAATGTTGCAGCTGATTTTTTTGGAGTGCTGATGTGCACATGATATATTCTCTATACACGGATGTCTTGCTCTCAGGTAGTTGCATCACTATATCTGCCGTTTTTTGGTGACAGCTTTTACATGTGCGACGAGCATGTTATGTTCTATTATCAGATGAGTGGTACTCTTGCTGGACTGTGTTGATATTATTCTTTTCTCTTACCGCTGTCGATGTCCTGTATTCTACGTTTACGAAAATCGGAGCAGTGGCGAAGTAATAATACATTTATCCTATCGCTCAATGAAAGCTTCTAGGTGCCTAAGCCTCCTGTCGTGGAATACGCCTATGCAGTGGGACATGTGACTTTATCGAGGGTATTATCGTTCTATTGTGAGGGTATTTATACTTTGAGCTCGGCCACACTGTCATTGACCTCTTCAACTGCATCTGTTGCATCAACTCCTCCAATGACGACAGGGCCAGACTCATCACCAGAATCACACTCGTCTGATTCGCTTTCTTCCTCATCTTCTTCGTCTTCGTCGGCCGATTTCTGGTCCGTTCTTGTTTCTCCTTTTTCTCTGATGGCTGCTTCCAAATCTTTCAACATCTTTTTAGTGAAGCCCGATGCCTCCACCGTCGCATCCAGCCTTGTCTTGCCGCCTCTTCCAACCGTCTTTTTGGCGTTCTTGAAGAAAGGCCCAGGCTGTGTGCTTGTAAAGTGGAAGCGACGCTGGAAAAATCGCTTGATACAGTTTACGTCGCGATCAAAATACATTTCAGCATTCTGATGCTCCATAGAAACCATCTGCGGGAAGTCAATGACTATTGGCTCCAGAGTAATCGTTTCCTCCCCCGCTTCATTGGTCGTTTTATTCTCCTTAATTAGGATGTTAAATTCGTTGAAATCTCCATGAATGAGACCATGCTGGGCAAGACGTAGAATGAGAGAAATCAACTCCCCATAAAGTGTTGCAGGATCCGGCACATCTGATATTTGTCGTAGAGGGTGGGCGTCGATGAGCGACATGACAATGGTGTGGCGCGTCTGGCCAAGTGGCTCCGGTACGGGAAACCCTTCTTCGCGCAGAGCCTGCATGAAGGCATATTCCTTCATGGCAGCAAGCCTCGATAGGTACATCCAGGAGCCAGAGGATTTGTTGCGGAGGTAGTCGCGGTTTGATTTGACCGTGCGGAACGAGATGCGACCTAGTCGGTGGATCTTGAGGACCAGCTGCTTGCCGGTGTGGTCCGCGACCACCATGATGTCGCTTTCTTTGCCGACACCGATTCTGCTACCGACACTGTATACAACCTTTTTGCTCGAGTACGTATGCAGGGCGAGATAGTCGAGGCCGCCATACGTCAACCGGTACCCATCGTATTTGGCTTCCTTGACGCGGCCAATGAGGCCGACTTTGGCGAGCGCGGATATACTCCTGTGAACGCCGCTTGCACCGCCGCGCAGTCGCGCAATCCGTTCGATAAGTGCTGTCGGTACGATTTCGTGGTTTTTGCTACCCAGCTCGACCTGCGTGTCCATCTATTAGATCTTGGTCATGGGGCGGATGTGTGATGGGAAGGTACTTACGGCAGTTAGAACTCGCCAGTCCTCCGCAGCCAAATGGCGCAGTGCTCTCGTATCCAAAATCATGACGGCTGGAAAATATGCTGTATATTCGGTTTCAAGCTGAGGATTTTCTGCTGGCCTCCATGTATGTGCTCGCTGCGTATCCTGGTGGGGTTCAGAGAAATTTAGCGCGCAAAGAGGTTCTGGGCTTATCGATAGTGGGTTATTCATCTGGCCAATGCGACGGATTACACGTGACTCCAATGTTTGGGGGCGACACACCAGCCAGCCTGCCTGTAGGCGGCAACGCCTCACGTAACCTCTAGGAGCTCAGAATTACTACGCCTGTTGCAATAGCTTTGTTGACAAGATTCTTTCCATCGCCCTTCAACCCCCAATTTACCAACGTCCTGCACTTGCCCTACCATCGCGATCGCGCAGGTGCCTCTTATTTGTATACCCTGTCTGCCACGACTGTCCCGATACTTTTCATTGCTTGCAAAGACGCCTCTCTCGAGCTTCAGAATCACAATCATCAGCTACAGCCACTACTAGATCGCCGTCAACATGGCTCAAGACGCCGATCTGCCCCAAGCGGCCGATAAGGGAAAGGGAAAGGCGGCTGAGGACCCCAAAAATGAGAGTGCCGGCGTCAACGGCAAGAAGAAGGCCGACGACAAGGGTGGTGAGTTGTGCCACGGCGACCATGCGCCGCCTTTACAATGCTAACCCAGATGCAGCTCCTGCCGAGGAAGAGCTTAGCGAAGAAGATCAGCAACTCAAGGGCGAGCTCGATATGATGGTTGAGCGTTTGACTGTGCGCATTGAGCTTCGCCCATCCACTTGCAAGGTGTAGACTAACCATTGCTAGGAAACGAACAAAGCGCTCTATAAGTCAGCACTCGAAGCTATGAAGACTTCGATAAAGACATCCACATCATCGATGACAGCCGTACCGAAGCCTCTTAAATTCCTTAGACCGCACTATGAGACTTTGACGAACTTGCACGAGGAGTGGCCCGCTGGCGACAGCAAGACGTCCCTCGCCGATGTGCTCTCCGTCATAGGCATGACGTTTTCCGACGAGGACCGACAAGATACCCTCAAATACCGCCTCCTTGCGCCCACATCTGACATTGGCTCTTGGGGTCACGAATACGTCCGCCACCTAGCGCTGGAAATTGGAGAGGTCTATGTCAAGCGCGTCACCGCTGATGAGCCAACCAAGGATCTCCTCGATCTTGCCCTGACCCTTGTACCTCTGTTCATCCAGAGCAACCAGGATGCGGACGCGGTAGATCTCATGAGCGAACTCGAGATCATCGATCAGATGCCCAATTACGTCGACGAAAACACATATGTCCGTGTCTGCCTGTACATGGTCAGCATGGTCAACCTCCTCACCTACCCCGACAACGAACAGTTTTTGCGCACCGCCCACAAGATCTACCTGGAGTATAAGCAGTATGCTCGCGCCATGGTCTTGGCCATCCGCCTCCACGATTACGACTTAATCCGCTCCACCTTTGTCAAGGCCGAGGATCCTGTCCTGCAAAAGCAGCTTGCTTTCCTTATTGCTCGCCAAAGAATAGCACTGGAGCTGCCTGGCGACGAGGACGAGGAGCTCAACAACTGCTTGTCGAACCTGAAGCTCGCCGAATACTTCAAATCGTTGGCTAAGGAGCTGAATATCCTGGAGCCGAAGACTCCTGAAGACATTTACAAGAGTCATCTCGAAAGCAGCCGTGTTGCTGGCATGACCAATTTGGACTCTGCCAGACACAATCTGGCTTCCGGCTTTGTCAATGCCTTTGTAAATGCAGGCTTCGGCAACGACAAGATGATGCTTGTTGACAGTGAGAAGGAGACTTGGGTATGGAAGACTAAAGACAATGGTATGATGTCGACTGTTGCGTCTATGGGAACTCTGTTGATGTGGGATATCGAGAATGGTCTTGATAAGATTGACCGTTACACATACTCCAACGAGAATGAGATCTCTGCCGGAGCCATGCTTGCTATCGGCATTATGAATTCCGGGGTTCGTGTGGAGTCAGAGCCTGCCTTGGCGTTGTTGGCGGACCTCGAGAAGATCGAAGGGCCTAATACTCTCGTCCGCACCGCCTGCATCATGGGTCTTGGACTATCTTACGCTGGGTCTAATAAGGACGAAATCCTCGAGACACTCCTACCCTTCATCAATGACTCTTCCCAGGAAATGCAAATTTCAGCCATGGCTGCCCTTGCCTGCGGCATGGCCTTTGTTGGGTCTTCTCACCCCGAAGTCAGCGAAGCCATCATTACCACTCTCATGGACGATGACCGCAAGAACCAGCTCACTGATAAGTGGACTCGATTCCTCGCACTTGGTCTTGGTCTTTTGTTCTTTGGCCGTCAAGAAGAAGTCGACGTTATTCTCGAGACTCTCAAGGCCGTTGAGCACCCCATGGCCAAGCCCACGGCTGTAATGGCCGAGATTTGCGCCTGGGCCGGTACCGGTGCCGTCCTCAAGATTCAGGAGCTGCTGCACATCTGCAACGAGCACCAGGAAGAATCCGAGGAGAAGAAGGGTGACGAGCTCCTCCAGGCTTACGCTGTGATTGGTATCGCTCTCGTTGCCATGGGAGAGGATGTCGGCCAAGAAATGGTTCTGCGCCAGTTTGGTCACCTTATGCACTATGGCGAGCCCAACATTCGCAAGGCTGTTCCTCTTGCCATGGGCCTCATTAGCCCCAGCAATCCCCAGATGAAGGTTTACGACACCCTGTCACGATACAGCCACGATACTGATCCCGAAGTTGCGATCAACGCCATTTTTGCCATGGGTATGCTCGGTGCCGGCACCAACAACGCCCGTCTAGCACAGCTCCTCCGCCAGCTCGCTGGCTACTACCACCGCGACCAGGACGCCCTCTTCATGGTCCGTATCGCCCAGGGCCTGTTGCACATGGGCAAAGGTACCATGTCGATCAATCCCTTCCACACCGACCGCCAAGTTATGTCCCGCGTCGCCGCCGCCGGTCTGCTGGCCACCATCGTCGCCATGATTGACCCCAAGGAGTTTATCACGTCCAACTCGCACTACCTGCTGTACTTTATCATCACTGCTATGCACCCGCGCTTCCTGGTGACGCTCGACGAAGAGCTCAAGCCCCTCAAAGTCAACGTTCGTGTGGGTCAGGCCGTCGATGTCGTCGGCCAGGCCGGCCGGCCCAAGACGATTACTGGCTGGCAGACACAGAGCACGCCAGTTCTCCTGGCGTACGGCGAGAGAGCAGAGCTGGAAGATGAGCAGTACATTAGCCTGAATAGCACGCTCGAGGGTTTGGTGATTCTGCGTAAGGTAAGAAACGATATTTTGAGTCTGAGATGATTTCTGCGGTATGAAGCTAACATGTCCTCATAGAACCCTGACTGGGAAGCGGAGAAATAAACACATGACGATAAATCGGCACGAGAAGGTGATTGGTATTCATGGACAAACTAGGTTGAGATATGAGTAGCTGGGTCTAGTTAATGTTAACTTCCTGACTAGTATGGATAAGGGAACGGGTGCTAGTATTGTATAATAAATTCACTCTGTCGTGTGCTTCTGTGGAAGATGAGAAGCATATTAACATGCGTCAAGACACGAGAAGAAGAAAATAAAAATTCAAAGTATTCTATTTTATGACAAGACATGGCCGACAGGTGGTGTTTGAGGGCATTGCGACTCTATTTGCAGAAATTCGTACGCGTGCCATCTACGGCAAGATAAATCCAAAATGCAACCCCTAAAAAAATGCAACCCTAAAAGATGAACTCCTATAATGAATGCATACAATGTAGCTTTATAATGTTGAGGTTGGCCTTGCAATACTCCACGACAGCCTCATCATGTTTTTACCACTCGGGCGGTCCAAAGTGCCCGCCATCCGGCACCGTCTTGTACGAGCAGGCCTGCCAGTCGCAGCCCTGCTTGTAGACTTCTGTGCCCCACCAGTGAAAGTCGGCCATCCAGCCGGGGTAGATGAAGCCAAAAAAGACGACTACGATGCCAAAGGCGAGGCCCGAGTCGAGGGCGGCGCTGAGGGTCATGGTGTACTTGGCCCACCAGGCGCCGGCGCGGCGCTTGATGACATAGTTGAACACGTAGCAGACAAGGGCCCAGACAGAAAAGTTGAGGCCAGTGGCCGGCGGGATCCAGGCCATGGCGCCAAAGATGACGGGGAGGTTGATCTTGCGGACGATGCTGCCGCGGCGGCGGCGGCTGTACAGCCAGAGGGGGATGGGCAGCAGGGCGCCGAGCGGGAAGCACCAGACGAGGGTGCGGTAGATGGCGCCGGGCCCAAAGAACTCGCCGGGCCCGACGACGCCCCAGAGGATGGAGCCGTTGAAATGGACGCGCGCAATCGGGCAGGTGAAGCCGTTGACGGCCTCGGCGGTACAGATGCCGCGCACATTGACAAACATCCAGTTGAGGACGCCGATTTGGGTGACGGACGAGATCAAGGTGGCGATGACCTGCACCATGAACATGATGCGCGGGGGTATCTTCATGTAGTGGCCGAGCTTGAGGTCGGCGGCAAACTTGATGCCCTGCGCCGAGGAAATGTAGCCGTACGTGACAAAGACCATGTTGGCAATGGGCCGCCCGGGGAAGACGACGCCGCAGATGAGCTGGCAGATCAGGTAGATGCTGCTGTGCTGGTTCGTGACGGCCATGATGATGCCGTTAGGGATGAAGAAGACGGCGCCAATGGCGAGCGCCAGCAGCAGCCCGTACCAGGGGAGGTGGATGGGGTAGTACTCGACAAGGAAGATGCCGACGGCCGTCATGGAGAGAAATGTTATGAGGTACCAGCTCAGCGGCGCATCTTTATAGCGCTTCATGAGCCGGCTGTGGATGTCCTCGCGGCTGAGGAGGTCGTCGTAGCCCGACTGCGCGGAGCGATTGCCGTAGCTGTCGCGGCGCGACAGAGGGTCCGGCTCCGCCGCCTCGCCGCCCGCCTCCATGGGTGTGCCCGAGAGCGGCTCGTACGAGGCATTGCTCGCCTCCTCGCGCGCTTCGGCGAGGGCACGCTTCCACGTATGCCATATATCGCTACCATGCCAGCACAACGTGTGCGTGAGCAGCGCCGCGAGACCAGCAAACTGCACGCCATAGCTGAGCATGTAGGTCACGGGCAAAAAGACACGGCTGTAGCTGCGATAGGCGTCGCGGTCAAATAAAAAGTCAGGTGTGAGGATCCGACTGACGTCATAGACTTTACCGGTGTTGTCAAAGACGGCGGTGGAGAGAATCGGCATGTATGATGAGTATAAGACGTTGGCATAGTAGCAGAGCGGTGCAATGAACCACATGACAACCACGAGCCCGGCCACGACGTTGACAGCTGCCCAGAAGGGTACGAGCAAGGGCGAGCCGACGTACGTGATTTGCGCCCAGTCAAAAGTCATGGGGAACAAGCCCAGGCCAGAGGTGACGCCAAAGAGGTTCGCAATGATGACGTTCTTTGGCGCAAACCAAGTAATGACACTAAAGTAACTGAGAGCCGGCATCAAGAGTCCGGGCAGGAAGTAAAAAACAAAGGCGCCTATCCAGACAATGTAGAAGAAGTTCCAGCGACTGATTGTCCAACCGTTGGCGGGCTTGTTTTCCTGCTTGTGGAGGGTTGAGAACATGGCGGCAGACATCAATGTGCCTGGCCAGATCATGCCGCTGGGACGGACGAGAAATCGACGCGCCATACCCGCAAAGCCATAGCCCAGAATTTGGGTCGATATAGTGAGTAGTAGCTGGTAGGCAATCGGCGCCGTCTGGTTATAAAATTGAGTCTGCTCAACAATGACGTCGGTCGCGAAAGCGAAGCCAAAGGCGACATTGCTGCTCACGTAGACGCATGTGTGTTCCTTTTCGTTCCAACGTCCCTGCGCGAACCATTGCCGCCACGAGCGGAGGGTCTTCGTTCGTCTTGCCGGCGGCTCATTCTCGCCAGGGACAGTCGAGTGAAGTACGCCGTCAACAAATATTTCCTCGGGGTCGTAGGACCGCTTGAGAGCCACGTCCCAGAATAAGCCGAGAGGATGCACGAGTAGTAACGCGATAACGGGTGTGATGGCGACACTCGGATATCGGAGAGAAAAGAATAGATTGGTCGATGAGCCCAATATTGAAAAGAGAAAAGACAGGCACCACATTCGCGGAGTGTTTATTGACAAGGTCGTGTCGTCTGTGGGAGGCACAGAAGCCCGGACGGCTTCGTGAGGGGAGTTCTCATCCTCCTCTTCGACTGTCGACGTGTCGTCGTGGACAGAAAATACGTCTTCTTGATCACTGTCTAAATCATCGGGCTTTCCGTTGCTGAAGATGTCGACGAGCGGCGTTTCGGCGGGTCCAAAGCGGCCTTCGACTCCGGACACGAGGATCGCGCCGTCGAGGTCCTCCGAGACCCTCGAAGATGACCGCGATAAAGCCGATCGATGGCTACGGCTCGTGTCGCGCGCATAGCTAGGACGGTGTCGGTATTCCTCGGAGTCGGCCTCGGATGGTGACTGGCTGTGGTATGGCGAGGTGCTCACGGCGCCGTAGTTGACATTGTCCTGGCGCGACAACGGCCGCCTGTCAAGGCGAAACGACCTCTTCTTCTTGACCATGTCAAAGTCGGTGAGCTCAAGCTCAGACCCGGAATCAGGGTCGGCTATGGCTTTTGACTCTGCGGGCCAAACGCTGCGAGCATGTTGTGAAGGGGAGTTTAGGACATCAATGGGGTCATTAAGAGGCGGCGGCGAGGGTTCTTGTTGCTCTCGGCCCGGTGGCCTTTGGTGGGATGATGCGACGGTGGGCTGGTGTGGCAATGCAGCTGTCGCGGTCGCCAGGGTCCCAAGGGCAACACCTTTGTCGAGGTTGGCGTCGGGCAGATCTTGGGCTAGAGGGAGTGCGGTGCTGCTCGCGACTGTGGTGTCGGAATGGTCTTTGGCCAGCGGCGGCGAACGGCGAGCGTCTTTCATGGCGGGCCAGCCGAACTGGTGGAGGGTGGGTGTCCCACCGCTACTACCTTGCCTGACTACCTAGATGGGAGTCGGCCGGAACTAATAAACTAACTAGTTCGTGTTAGCTGGCGGGCCTTGGACGAGGACAACTGGCGTTCCAGCTGCAAGGGATAGTCCAGCTGCAGCCGGTTCTGTGTCGTCTTGGGCAGCAGACACGGAGACGGGACCCGTACTAGGTGCCGTCACTCTGGAGATGTCAAAAGTTCTCCCTGCGGCGAGCCAATGGGTAACCATCAACGGTCCACAGGAAGCATGCAACAGTGGACTGCGACGAGTTGAGGGTGGGATGTGGTGCGAATGCTAGCCTCAGTAGACAGTGGGCCGGTGGGTTGGAATGTCAGGGCAGTTGAAGGCCGTGGTGTGGTATGTAGTGAGTCAAATATGATATCGAAAGCTTGGACAATGGGCTACAGAGGTGAAACTCCCAACGTTGGCGGCGACGTCGCGAGTTGAAAAAGGTTGTGTGTTGAAGGGAAACTGACAAGTGACTGCCGAGCAGACGCGAGTCAACCAGTCAGTCAGGGCTGCAGCAGATTCGGGAGCGCGCTCGCGTGGCGTCTGCCGGCGCAGGCTGCAACCTATCGAGCAACCGAGAATGGCTGACCGAGTAAAGGGCTGGTGAGATGTGACGTTTTGGAAGCAGGATGCCTGCTAGCGTTCCGAGTCTGCAGCTAATACAGGGCTGTCGGGCATTGAAAGTGGTCAGTTGCACGGCAAATGGTGATGAATAACGGCCTTGCGGAGCTTGCTCGGGATATCGGTGCAAAATGAATTGATGATAGGCCGCAGCTTGGATGATGAAGATGGGCAAACGGAGTAACTAGGAGATGCTGCCGCCAGTTGCCAGAGGCAGTGGCTGAGGACGACAAGCAGAGCCTCGACGGAACGGGCTACAGCGCTGTAGCCTGTGATAAGCCACACTCAAGTCTGCCCATGCAAGGCACGACTCGCGGCATCCAACCTACCATGACATGCAAAGTGATGAATTCGTATTCCAGGAGCTCGGTTCAGCATGGTACAGCGTGGTCGAATTCCTTGTTGTATGTACAAGGGATATACGCCACGTAATCTGCCAGCGGCGGCGTAGGTCGATTGCCGATGCTGCAGAGCGAGAGCCTACAGTACAGCCGCCTGTTGATGATGCGCGCTCAGTAATTAATTTCTATACAAATTACAGAGCCGTACATGGGTCGCATGAAGCGGAGAACGGATACTCCCTTCGCATGACAGGACTTTGATATACGTTGGCATGTGTATCTGAGACGCTAACAACGACAACACTCGGAAGGCGGCGAGGGACCTCTCGTCTGCGCCCTGCTAAATATTATTTCTGCCTGGAAAAAAACAAACCGAAACTCGGCCACGAATTTTTAAATTTTACGTTTGACGATTCCATGAAACAGGTGATCCCAGTCTAAGCTTACCTTACATGGGTCTGCTAGCATCATTCGGGCTATCCAAGTCTGACGAATGACAGCAGACGCATTAGGCATCCCTAAAGTTTTGGGCGAAATTGATATCGATATGTAGTACGAACCGCCATCGGCTACTGGAGTTAGGTATAGTTACCTCACGGGCCCGATCGCAGTCACACCCACACAACATCCACAGTACGTAGGCCCCGCGCCGCGCCAAAATTGATTGGTGGCCCTTCACTCTGAGACAATGCCAGCAATTGCTCATCCCACCAGCTTCACCCGTCGACGGCTATCATAATATCATAATGACGACCCCGGTAGCTGCAGCAAAGCAGCAGTTTAGAACATTGATAAAAAAGCGTCTTGCCAGCCTTTCTCATGATGCTGTTCAAGCTCAAAGTAAGCTGACGCTATCATTCTTTACGCGAGCCGTAGTATTGAAACAACCAGGTCGCGCCGTCTTTGAGGCCCTTCAAGCCTCGCAGCAGTACAGAGATGCCAAGCGCATAAGTATCTATCTAGCTATGCCGGCAGCCGAAATTCAAACCGACGCCATCGTTCGCCATGCTCTCACTGCTGGCAAGCAAGTCTTTGTACCTTATCTTCACAAGTCAACTCTGTCCGAACCCGACGCACCCGCTCGCATCATGGACATGGTACATCTGCGCAGTATTCAGGATTATGAGTCTCTCGGCCGCGACAAATGGGGCATCCCCAGTATCAATGCCGACGCTGTTGCTGGCCGTGAGCGAATTTTGGGTGACTCACCAGGCAACTTTGGCCCTTCCCCGGCTACCCTGGATCTCATGTTGGTTCCGGGTGTTGCCTTTAATGCAGATCCCGAGACCGGGATACGGCGGTTGGGTCATGGAAAAGGGTTTTACGACTTTTTCCTGAACCGATACTTCGCCAGAGCTGCGGAACATGGTGGCCATGGGTCATCGTTGCAGCTCACTGGCTTGGCCTTGGCGGAGCAGTGGTTAAGCGCTGAAGATGGGCAGGTTCCCATGGGCATCTACGATCGACGACTTCACAGTCTAATACTCGGAAGCGGCGAAACAAAACAATGACACTACTCTTAAAAATTAAAACAGCACCCTCCCAAGCTGTTTCATACACCCGACCATAGTCGGCGGCCGAAATGTCACAGGCGCTGACGGGAGGTACTGTTGGAGCACTTTGTACAGTCAGCGGATCTTGATGTCATCGGTGCCAAAACGAATGATGCTGAAAATATAACCAAAAAACCCAAACATACATCTTTGGTCGTTCAAGTGCGTAATTCCATCCAGCTGAATATTTTATATTAATTGCTCGGCTAGAGTTCCTTGATGGCACCTGGCCGGAGCGGAAAAACTCGCCACCTTGGTTTCTCCAACGACTGACTGCCCCGCCAAAGGCCATGTCATATTATTTATTGCAAGGTGGGCTTTCTGCTTTTTATCGCTCTGTACCTAGCTACTCTCACAACACCACGATACCCAACAAGGACGCCAGCTGTCGCATCATTTCTGCAAGTCGACGGCTAGCTGCGTCGCATCCATTCACTTTGTGCCCTCCAGTTACTAACGCCCTTGCTGCTATTGTTTGCTGTACTGCCCGAACAGGTCGATCTGCGGCACCTTAACAACACAGCCTTCATGCGCCACTGACCCTGGTGCGATCGAAAACCTCGTTGAGTGCCGGACGAGCCAGGAAAAAACATCCCATACCATTATTGCCTCTCGAAGCTCAATATTATGGCTGCCAACGGTGCGCAGGACAGCTTCTCGCCGTCCGACGTCCTGGCTGCTGTCCTGACGATGCGGGGTGGGGAGCAAGACGCAAAGAAGAAGGCACATGCCTACCTGGAGAGTTTTCAAAAATCTGTTCGTCCCTTACGTTCTCCCACGGGGATGTCCTATATATGCTAATCAGGTCAGAAAACATCCTGGGGCACCATTATTGGTATTCTGCAATCCAAGGCCGAACCAGAAGCAACTCTGTTTGCCGCCATCACGCTTCGTGGAAAGGTACTATCCGCCTCACGCAGATACGGATAGTCAGCAAGCTAATGAGTTGCAGATAACCTATGACCTCTCCACCCAAGTTCCCGCGACCGAGCTCCCAGCTCTGCGAAACCAGATTCTTTTGCTCCTCAAGGAGTTTGCTGTGGGACCCAAACCCATTCGTGTGCAGCTGTGCGTTTGCCTCGCTATCCTGGCTATTCAGATGAAGGATTGGAACGATGTCTTGCCATCTGTGGTTCAGTCTCTTAGCGACAGCCCCGAGAGCCACGCATGTATCCTCGACTTTTTGCGTGTGCTCCCCGAAGAAGTCACCGAGGGCCGAAAGATTACCCTGTCTGTATGTGGATATTACGACTCGACTCGACAACAATCTCCGACGACCTTCGATCGGCCGGATGCCGTCTGTTTCCAACTTCAAGTCTAATTAATTTGTGGGATACAGGAAGACGATCTTGCGGACCGTTCAAAGGTGTTGCTGGCGGACAATACAGACAGAGTTGTGCAACTGCTGATCAATTACTCGCAATCTTCACGTGAGTATTTGCAATCTGCACGGTCAATGAAAAAAAACTAACTTTTAATTAGCGGCCGCTGCTCGTAATCCGCAGCTAATGGAGTGCATCACATCCTGGCTAAGAGAAGTTCCTGTTAGCAGCATCGTCCACTCTCCACTGCTGGATGTTGTGTTCCAGGGTGTCACTGCCGACGATTGCAGCCAAGAGGCATCTGAGTGTCTATGTGTCATGATACGAGAAACGCGTGATGTCGACGAAAGCCAAGAAAGCATTCGGGTACTTTTCCCTCGCATCGTCGGCCTGCAGCCTCGCATCGCGATAGCTGCGAGCGAAGAGGATACCGAGGCATTGAAGGCATTGACAAAAGTTCTTGCCATCGCTGCAGAGAGCTGGTCCGTTGCTATTGCCCGCCAGCCATCTCATTTTAGACCATTGGTTGAGGCTGTCCTTGAGTGTGCTGCGCGCGATAAGGACCAAGACGTTATCGAACACACATTCCTCTTTTGGTACGAGCTTAAGCAATATCTCGTGCTCGAGCGCTACATTCAGAGCAGAGTGGAGATGGTTGATATTTACTCTAAGCTCGTCGACATTCTCTTGAAGCATCTTCAATACCCTCGGCCTGAGTCTGGAAACGAAACCGATCTCTTCGACGGTGACCGCGAACAGGAAGAAAAGTTCAGAGAATTTCGCCATCAAATGGGAGACACCCTTAAGGACTCATGTGAAGTCATGGGTGTCACAGAATGCTTGACCAAGGTTTTGAATGCTATCCAAGTCTGGATGCAAAAACACGCAAGCGAAGTTAGTGACACCAACGTGCCAAACTGGCAGGAACTAGAGGCTCCTTTGTTTGCAATGCGAGCACTAGGGCGCATAGTGGATCGGGAGGAGGATATTGTTCTTCCGCAGCTTATGCCGCTGCTGGTTCAAATCCCAAACCATGAGAAACTCAAGTTTGCTACAATCATGGTCCTTGGCCGTTACACCGAGTGGACAGCTGTGCACCCTGAATACCTGGAACCTCAGTTCAACTATATTGTCAACTCTTTCCAGGCCGACTCTAAGGAGATTATCCGAGCCGCTGCGTTGGCAATCAAGTTCTTTTGCACAGACTGCAAAAACCTGCTCAGTGGGCAGGTTCTGCAGCTCCAGACCTTCTATGACCAAGTCCTTGACAAACTACCGAATCAAAGCAAAGAGGAGGTGACGGATGGTGTCTCCAACGTTGTCGCTGTGCAGCCTGCTGATCAGACATACACGCTACTGAAGACGTACTGCGATCCTCTGATCCAGCGCCTGATGACTATGGCGAATCAGGCAACTGATAAAGAGAGCAAGATTGCCTTGGCTGGTAAGTTGACATTTTCAGTCGTCCATGATACGATGCTAATACAATGAAGAACACCTTCAGCTCATTACAGTTTTTGTTCAAAATGTCACGCCTGCAATCAACCGCGGCGATGCCAATCCGGCTGTTAAGTACTGGCAAGAAGTCTTTCCTATCCTGTCGACGGTCCTTGAAAACTTCTTGGACTTTAGCCCCATTTGTGAGAGAATCTGCCGTTGCTGGAGAAACATGATTGTGTCGTACCGCACTGCAATGTCGCCTTTGCTACCCGAGATGGCCAACAAACTGGCGAATGGCTTCACGAGATCTCACGAGGGATGCTTTCTATGGGTGACTGGTACCATCCTTCGGGAATTCTCCGAGGACCGCGACAGCGTGGATCAGGCGACGACCGAGAATATTTACAGCTTTTTCGAGGTACAAGCCACTGCGTTCCTGCGTGTCATGACGGAACTCCAACCGACAGACTTACCAGACGCGATTGACGACTTTTTCCGACTCATGATCGATGCTCTGCTTTATTACCCCCAAAAGCTCATCCCTTCTACATTATTGGTCCCGATCTTCGAAGCAGCTATCTATGCGCTTACGCTCGAGCAGCGAGACCCGCTTGTTTCAACGCTGCACTATGTTCGTGATTTGTTGTCGTACGGCAGCAACAACCCGGCTAGCAGCGAGGGACTTCCGGAGGTTGCGGCCCAGCAGATCAAGGTCATTATTCTCAGCATGCTGCAAAGCCATGGATTGGGTCTTGTAAAGCAGGTAATGGCCGGCATGATGCTGACTTTCCCACGGGACTGCTTTGCTGATGGAAGCGGCGTTCTCCTGGCCCTTTTCGAGATGATTCCCGGGCAAACTGCTGCGTGGGTTGCACAGACAATTCAGCTGCTGCCAGAGGGTACTGTGAGCCCGGCTGACGCCAACAATCTCATGGTCAAGATTAAGGACAAGCTTTCGACCGATGATGCTAGCAACATCCGACATGTGCGTGTCTTGCTACAGGACTTTACGAACTCGTACCGACGACGAAATGTGGCGCCTAGGGATGGGCTAGGCCAACTGGAGGCTAGAAGGTTCCAGTTCTCAGGCTGATTCAGGGAGCGGGAAGAGTTGAGGGCTGGCACGTCTAAAGAGGACTGGTGGATTAATTGGCATTTACAGGAGCGAGGTAGTTTATACCAGGGAAGTGAAAAGGGAACGGGATTGGGAGCAACTGATTCAATTGTTGATATAGCATCTAGAGCGAGTATGAGAAGAAAACGGAGCCCAAAAACATGTTATTCATGGGATATGGGATAGTAAGATGGAGATTTGCAATGGGAGAATATACATGCACATAGTTACTGTTAGGGAGAATGCTCTAGTTGCCATACCTATTTTTGCCACTGCTTGTTCAAACCTCACCGCGCTTGTGTTGGTTTCTGTGTGGATGACGCCATGAACCAAACAATCAACCACATCCATAATCGGCTTGCGTGTTAGTCACCGGGAACGCCACCCGGCCCTCAACAGTAGAATTACAAATTAGGTATCAAGCAAGTCCCATAGTTCCTATAGTATACAACATCGACAAAAACGCCAAACTCGCCCAGAGGACACACAATGGGAAGCCAAGACGCCGCCGTCACCACCACCGCCGCCGCCGCCGGGGCCGGTATCACCCTCCTCCCCTGGGACCCTGCAAGCGACACCCACGCCGCCCGCATGACGATGCAGCGGCACGCCTGCGGCTGGGACGCCGAAGCGGTACCGTACTGGCGGAAAAGAGTCGCGACCGGCGACAAGCTGCTCTTTTGGATCCTGCTGTCCGGCGCCGGCGACGGCGAGACGCTGCTGGCAGCAGCCGCGCACGGGCAAGGGAGCGCCGCCGACAATGAAGAGCGGGCGCCGCCGCTGCGCGATACGGCGACGCGGGTGGGCAGGACGGCCCGGACACCAACGGCGGCGGCGTTTGTGCCGATCGGACACATTGCGCTCGACGAGTATCCGGCGCGCAACGAGCTGTTTGGGCTGCCGGCGTCGACGTTGTGGATCAAGTCGTTTTACATTTCCAAGTACGTGCGCCTGCTTTTCTTTAGAGAGAGAGAGAACCAGGGACTGATCAAGTTAACGCAAACAGAGCGATGCAGTCGGGCGGGCTCGGCAGAAAAGCCATGGGCCAGGTCGAGGCCATGGCCGCCGGGGCGCCGTTTTGCAGCGCCGCGCTCGCGCTGGACACGACGCACCCGGCGTGGCAGCGGCGCGCGGCGAGCGTGCGTCTGTACGGCACGGAGGAGCCGCCGGCGAGCGCGCCGCCGGTGCGTACGAACCAGGCGTGGTACGCGCGGCAGGCGTACAGCGACATGGCGCTGCCGGCGGCGGCGCAGGAGGAGGCGTGCGCGCGGGTCGAGGGCAGGGACTCGCTGGGGTTCTATGCGTGGACGGACCCGGAGACGGGCGAGCTGGTTAAGATTCCGACGGTGTACATGTACAAGATGATGGGATGATGGGACAGGTGGAGAGTTGGTGCTGAAGTATACGCGATGTAGAAGTGAGTAGATAACTGCGTAATGGGCAATGGAAGGGGTTGCAAACGATCCAGGCAACGACAAGAACCACGGAACAATAGATGCAGATGTAGACTGGGAACACAATACAGTATATATCCCATGGGCATCTTGTCAATATATTCTAGGAATTCGGACCGTCCATGCGCAGTTTTCTTGCCATGACCTGCTATCAGTCCATGCTTGAAAAACAACACAAGAGCCTTGTGGCTGTGAAGAGCCAGAAAACACACCCTTGCTTTCTTTTCGCAGTTCCGGTAATACTTGCAACTCATTCTCACGTTGCAAAGCTTGTCAGGTAGGTAGATTATCGTTTGGTGCGGCTTCAAGTACAGGCAGTCCACCCGTTCCTACAAGGCAGCGGGTGGTGTAGCTGATGAGATCTGCTCCGTTCTGCAAAAGCACGCCAACCGCCGTTACTTGCCCCAATTAAACAGCGGATTGTAGTGGTATTCGGCCATTTCTGGCGGCGGCGGGCACTTTGATCTCAGCACAAACGAAATCCCCGAGACTGGTTGCGGCGGGAGTGAAGAACGGCTACAAAACGGTTCGCTTGGCGGGATGCGCCAGGCGACAGGAATTTCGACGAGCGAGAAATCGTTGGCTTTCAAAAGTATTCTCAAGAGCCGGGCTGCACTCTCCCTCGAGAACATATTAGTAGAGGCTAGACATGTGGCATATCGCAAAAGTCAAGAGGTTTGCTCCGTCTTGGACGTTTCGGAGAATGTGACGCATCACAGGCATCCATCTGTTCCTCAAAAACTGCTTATAGCCGCGCCACAAGGTCGATTTTTGCACCTAGTAGCGACTGTATGTGGATAGATGCGCAGCAAATCGGCCAGGACGTTGTGTGCCTTTGGGCTGAATCCGATTTCGTGAAGACCAGGATGGCCGTTTGCGCGGCACTATTGCACTATAGCATATCAGTGTGAGAATGGAACTTGATGAATAGAAGCATAGTGCTGCCGCAGAAGCCACTTCTTGGACCGTCTGACCTTTTTTCCCGCTCGATAGTAGCATGGTCCGCCGTGACGCTGGTACATATATTCCCGTCGATCTTGTACTGGTTGAATGCGGGATGATTTTCTAGCTACCACTTGAGCCTTGTTGGCAGATTTCTACGCAGCCCCCACCTTTTCCAAAGTACTACCCACCTAGGAGGCAGGTATTACCTAGCTGGGATTCACGAATTTTGTACAACTTCCGAGTACCATCTTTCCATAATGACTTGTGGAACAACGACGGGCTTGATACTACGGGGGGCAGAGTCCGTGTTTGTCCTTTTGGTACGCCGGATTTTTCTCTGGAATCACTCGGCTGACATCCTTGTCGTCGTTCTATATTTGTGTTGGGGTATCTGTCTCCAGAAAGCAGTCTTGCTTGATCACCTCTGACGTATTCTGGGGGCGAGGAGGGACGAGAACCAGTCACCAGCCAATCAGGCACTAATGGCTTAAATGGGCTGTCAGCCCAGCCAGCCTTGAGGTGCTTGGTCAAGCCGGTTGGGCGCCACACACGTTCTGTCATCTGACAAGACAAGTAAGACTGACGGGCAGAGATTCTGTACATGCAGCCCAACTTCTGCCCACTCGCTGCGCATGATACAAGTTGGTTCAAGTGGCGTTCGGGCGCTATGCTTCATTCGCGCATCATGGCATTGGATACTGGAGTGGAGGGCTTAACCAAATCAACAGTTCTTGAATAAAGAGATGCATAAGTCACACTATCAAGTAGATACTTTTGATTTGTGTCTTTTCCTTTCTGGTATTATTCGTACATTCATCGAGTTCTGGGAACCCTTGTCTGTCTCGCCCCACGTGGCGGCATGTTGGGAGGCCGTGAGCAGGGGGGTCAAATCCACGACATTTTCGATATATATCTAATGATCCATACAAATTAGTAGAATCACTTCTGCCCACTCACACCTATCCCATGGCACTGCCCCACTGCCCAGGATTAAGAGATACATAACCTACAACCTACCTGTATATCAGTACGGGTCGTCCAACCCGCTCCCTTTTGAACTGTGAGCATATACTTGACCCTCTCAAAAAATCACATTACATACTCTACCATACTACCTTGAGCCAGTTTGATCCATGGCATTGACGACTGACGGGGCCATCGACCTTGCAGGAGTGGCAGTCAGTGCCGTCTCGGCATACCTCGTCCTTTGGCCGGTTCTGAGAGCACGTCGCCGCAGGCAACAGCATTCCCGCGGTATGACGAGCGTACCAAGGCGAGACGGGCCGGATTTTGTACTGACGAAACGGACAGAAGACAGCCGCGATGAAGAGGCCGCAAATCTCGTCCCGACGGAGCAGGCACCTGCTTCAGATGCCATTTCTCCACTGGGCCCATACGAGCTCGGTACGGCTAATTCCCCAACCCCAAATCCGTTGCCGGCCGAATCAAAATGCTAACTTGGATGATTGTAGTGGGCAGCCATCCCGCTGGTCCAGATCGCCAGCGGGCCCCAGCGACTTAGCCTTTAAGATCGAGTTTACGGATATCTGGGACATATTGTTAGGTGTCACTATTTCGACTACAGAATTCGGGAGGGCTGCGGACTGCCCCGCCTCTGACAGAAAACATGTTTTGTGTACAAGAAACAGATGCACTGGAATAACTGCACGTATAGATGGATTTGACTAGAATAACTGCGCGCATAGCTACCTGAATGAATACATGGATTATCCTTGATATTGCGGAGCTGACCTTTGCTTCATCCTTGATCTTGCGGAGCTTTTGGGGTACGGCTGTGGCTAGCGCTAGCGACCGTGTGGCGTTTGACGACGTGTTTTTAGCTAAACACAACCTCAGCTAGTACCATGGATTATTAATTATATAAAAACTGTAAAATTATAAAAAGAGTGCAGAGGCACTCTCTTATCAATTCTCTACGCTTTGGCTCCAGTTGTTTTATCGAAATATATTTACTTACTATAATATTCGCGCCTACGTCTCTCGCATTTCCCTCCGCTACCGCCAAGCCACGAATTGGTTGACACAATTGGCGGTGTGGTGGACGAATAGAGCAGCCTACATGTTGAGTGGAAAACGCCCTGTTAGAAAACAGGCCTCACGCGCGTAGGTAGGTATTTAGCATGCTCAGTCCTGTAGAGACGACATAAACGCCTGCAACGCCCGCCACGTCCCGCCCCCAAGATACCCGACGGCCTCGTCCAGGCCGGGCTGCACATGCGTCTCCCCGACGCCGACGGCCAGCACCCGCCGGGCCCTCCGCACCACAGCCAGCTCGCCGTCCATCGCGCCCTGTCCCACCACCACGCTCTCCGCGCCGGCGTACTCGACCGCCCAGACCCTCGCATCGCGCTGCATGATTTCCTCCTCGGCGGCCGTCACCAGCAGCCGCTGGACGAGCGGCCGCGCGCCGCCAAACACGCGCGCCCACACCTCGCGCGCCGCCGGCGCCGCCACAATCTCGCACCACACCTCGTCCGGCCGCGGCCGCAGCACCCGCACCAGCCGCGCCGTGTGCGGCCCGTCGAGGTAGTCGCACGTCCGCCCGCCGAGGCTCGCCGCGTCGGTCCACGTGAACCACGGGGAGAGCAGCACCACGGCGCGCAGCGGCGCGCCG